GTCATTCATTGTCATAAAGGTGCCATCTTCATGTAATAGGTCATTGATATAAGTAATGCCAGCCACGGCCCAAGATTTGAAGTACACAGAAGTATTCCCAATCACAATAAATCTATTATTCCACAAGACTTGAGAAACAATCTGCCTGTGTGATAATGGTTCATGTTGTATGACTTCTTCCCAGGCTATTATGATGTCTCTATAAAATAGGGGAAGGTTTTCCATATTCAATAACTTGGTAGAATAATTACATTTGAACAGAAGATAGCCTCCCCATTTGGAAAATAATAATTCTTTTTCCTTTAGTGGATCAATAATAAGTCTTTTTATCCATGTGGCTTTCAATGCCTTGTTCATTATTGTGAAATCAACCATTTTAAGGCCTCCTTGGGATTTTTGGCCAATCAAAGTTTTCATTTTTACCTTGGGAGGTTTCTTTTGCCAAACGTATTGGAATATATAGTCATTTACTTGTTTCAGAAGATATGATGGGGCATGTAGTACTGAGCAGTTATATACCATCTTAGAAATACCCAGGGTTTTAATTATTAAAATTCTTCCTATCATGGTTAAATTTCTACTTCTCCATACATCACATAACTTTTTCATGTTTTCAAAGTTTTAGTTCAAAGTTCTCATTATAACATTTAGAATGGTTGTGTCCAAAGTGTGTACCTAATGCCTTGATGGGGGTTTGGGGCCACCGTACCGGTAGGGGCTGGTCTTGTCTATTCTTGTCTGATCCTATCCACAAAGCTTCAGTTTTTCCTTTATTTAGTTCTAATCCACTGCATTTTCTGAACAGGTTTAGTGTATCTAGTACTTTGGTTGCAGAGGTTATGTCTAGTAACAGGGATGTCATATCATCTGCATACATGGATAATTTGTGAGTTTTATTATATACTTCTAGTCCTCTAATGTTTGTATCTGTTCTAATTTTAGTTGCTACTATTTCTAGGCCAATTATGAACAAGCTGGAGGATAGAGGATCCCCTTGTCTGACTCCTCTTTGTACATTAAACCATGGCGAGCTGTAACCATTGTTGATAACACAGCTGTTTATATTATTGTACAGTAATTTTACCCATTTGATCATGTCTTCTCCAAAGTTCATGGTTTCTAAAGCTTTAATTATAAAGGGTGGTTCTACATTATCATATGCTCTTTTTAAAATCTAAAAACAAAATTACTCCAGGGGTGTTTTTTTTCACAGTATTCTATGGTATCCCATATGCGTCTAATATTGCTTCCTATGTATCTTTGTTTTATGAAGCCAGTTTGATCTTCATGGATTATGGAGGGGAGTAAAGGTTCTATTCGCATAGTTAGGGCTTTACTGATGATTTTATAGTCAACATTTAGGAGACTAATTGGGCGCCAGTTGTCTAGAGTACTAAGGTTTGAATCTTTTTTGGGGATAAGTCTTATAACACCACGTCTTTGGGATATTGGTAGTGTACCTAATTCAAAAGCATGATTTGTGGCATCAACAAGTTGATCTTTAAGCAAAACCCAAAACTTGACATAAAATTCTACTGTGAGTCCGTCGCAACCGGGCGCTTTATTTTTGTTTTTGTGTAGTTGTTTGAGAGCTTTATCTAATTCAAGTTTAGTGATCTTTCCTTCACATTTAATCTTATCTTCTTCATTTAATCTTTTAATCCCTTAAATTCTTTTCTTGTTGGATCACATTTACTGGAGGTATAAAGATTTTGATAGTACTCAGCTTCTATATCTAGAATTTCTTTGGGGTCTGTTACCAGAGTTCCATCGTTTTGTACTATTGAAGTAATTACTTTTTCTTGATAGTTTCTCTTTTCTAAGTTAAAAAAATATTTTGTGCTTTTTTCCCCATCTTCATACCATTTGCTACGGCTTCTAATTATGGCGCCCCTAGTTTTAAGATTTTGTATGTCATCTAATTTCTGTTGTGTGTCATGTATTAATACTTGTTTACTTGGATCATTGTTTTCATCATTTTCTGCAACTAACTTGTTGAGTTTATTTTCTAGTTCTTGCTCTTCATCTCTGCGCATTCGTGCTTTCGTCTTAGAGTATGCTATACTGAAGGTCCTTATCTCCATTTTTATGAGTTCCCATCGAAGACCAGGATCTTGTATGTCTTTTAGCTTTTCTATTGCCTTTGTTATGGTGTCTATCATAGTTGTCGTGAAGTTTTCATCTGAAATTAAACTGTTGTTAAAACGCCAAAAACCTGGTCCTCTTTTTTGGTACTTTGGAGTCATAATAGTCATGCAGAATGCTCTGTGGTCTGGTACTGGTGCTGTGCAAATTTTACATTCACTTGTTTGTACAAGGTTGCTTGGTATAAACCAGTAGTCTAATCTACACTTTACAGCTGCTGACTCGTTTTGCCATGTGTACTGTCTAGTATTTGGATTCTTTTGTCTCCATATATCAGTGAGGTTCAGAGTATTAAGTGTTGAAGTTATTTCTTTGATTGCAGTATCTTTATAACTGATAGGTCTTCCACCTGTTTTGTCTAGCTCTGTCAGAAATATATTGCAGTCACCACCAACTATGATTGTTCCACTTCCATGTTCTTGTAATAGGTTGTTTACCTCTTTAAAGAAGATTTCTTGATCTTTCCCCTTGTTTGGTGAGTATAAATTCATTAAACATAAATCTGTATCATTTATTTTGGTGTTTGCAATTATGTATCTCCCATTTTCATCTACTTTTGTGTTTTCAACTTTTATGTCTAATTTTGAATTAAATAGTATCATAGCCCCCTTGCTGTGTGGTGTGCCATGGCTATAGAGTATATTCCCTCCCCATTCTGTAGCCCATTGCTTCTCATTTTCTTTTGTTGAAAAGGTTTCTTGTAGAAAGACTATGTCTGCATTTTTACCATGAAGCCACCTGAATATTTTCCTTCTTTTGAAGTAGTTATTGATTCCTCTTACATTTAATGTTATGAGAGTTATTCTAAGATTTGTCATTTGGTATGGGTTAAAACCTTGCTTTGACTCTTCCCTTTGATTTTGATTGATCTAGATTTACAATAGCAAAAGTGTGAAACAAAATACATATAAAATGAAATAATACAAATAATAACAATAATGATGATAATAAATAAAGTGATAACATAAAAGTAACGTTAATCATATAACTTATGGCAACAGTGATAATGAAACAAAATAAAGTGAACATAAATTTTGATGATGATCAAAATAAAATAATCAGATGTGCCTGAAGGAAAAATAAGCAAATTTTAAAAGGGAGTAAGAGTTGATAGGTTAGCAGTAAGTAATAGTCAGCACAACTTTCAAATTTCTTCAGAATCTCTTCGTGTCTTTAATTGAAAAGCATAAGATCTTACACACAGTTACAGTGCTTTTTCCATCAGGCACTTACATTTGTCTTTGAGGCTTTATCTCTGATTCTCAACAGTTCTCATCTTTTCCTGCCTCTCCGTGGTCTTAGGTTCCTTTTCGCTGTCTGTAGGTAAGTTGGTATCTGTAGTAAGGTACTTCTTGTTTGTCGTGGTGAGTTTGTCAGTTCTTGACCAGGTTGGGTTCTCACAGTTTCTGTAGGTCTGCGTCTGCTTTCAGTTCGTTCTTCTTCTTGTCCACCTCCCTCTGTTACAGGATCTGAAGCAGTTCCATCTGTAGTCTCGTCCTGCAGCCATCTTCGAGGAATCTCCCAGTGTTCGTACTGTTTGCTCTCGATGACCAGTTCGTTCCCAACAATCATTCCTCTCTTACCTCCTTCCTTGACTCTTCTTAGGGCAGGTACCAGGATGTTTCTCCTCAACTCACGGACTTTTTCCGGCACGTCGTCGGTTATGTAAATGCGCCTGTTCTTGATATGTGTTTTGTTTTTCCATACTCTGTCTATGTCGGCTCTGCAGGTGAACCTTGCAATAACAGGCCGGGTTTTGCCGTTACGAGGCTTCCCGAGACGATGTACCGCGCACATTTTCATCTCCTGTGTGTTTATGTTCATCTCTTCACTTATAAAGTCCATGACTTTCCTGGTACAGTTTTCCCTTTCCGTTTCTTGGATACCGTGGAAGATCAGGTTCCATCTACGCCCGTACATCTCCAACTCAGTGACATCTTTAGCCAGGTCTTCCTGCTCTCTTTGCTGTGAGTCCAGCCTCCCTGTGATGTCATCGACGTTTTCCTGTGTAAACTCGAGCGATTTTACGATCTCCACGTTGTCAGAGTTGGTTTTGGCGAGACTACCCTCGACCTCCTTCACACGTGATTCAAGCCTTTGTAGTCTGTCAAGTAGCGAGTCCCAGTCCTTTTTCGGAATTTTAACGTATTCCTCACCCTCCGTCATGTTGCTTTTCGTCCACAATATTCCTCACTACTTCATGCACGTTTAGGCGATATTCTTGACTTCAAAGCTTGTGGTTTTTTTTATCTTAACATCGTCTGAAAGTTGAAACTGACGCGCACTTACTCGCTTAGGCCGCCATCTTGGGTCTCGCACCGCAGTTTTTTTCTCAAACTTTTAATACTGTCACACATGTTTTTCATACAACAAAAATGTAACTCCTGCGCGTGAGATTGCGTAAAGTTGTAGGCAATACGGGCTCCAATGCTGATACACATGTTTCAGATACAACAAACGTCTATACCCTCGACGTAAATCTTAGTAGACAAAATATATAGACTTCAACGCTGGTATTCGTGTTCCCGATACAACAATCTCTACGTCCTCGACGTGTAAACTTGAGTAGACAAAATATATAAATTTCAATACTGATATACATGTTTCCGATCCAAAACAATGTCTATTATTGCTCTCGTCGTATAATTTGATTAGACAAATATAGGCTCTAATACTGATACACAAGTTCCACATGCCAAGTCTATGTCCTTGACGTGTGCATTTGAGTAGACAAAACAAAAGTGTACACAGACTTTTTTTTTTGAATGCATAAACAAAGTAATGTAAATTCTAATCCGTTCCGTTCCATAAAAAAATCCGTTACAATTCCGTCCGACATTCAAAATCTATTTATATTACTTGTGCTCCACAGTCGCCGTGCACCCCTTTGCCCAATGCCCCAACCCCCAACACCTGAAACACTTGTCTGTGGGGCGTGGAGTGGCTCTACGACCACGACCCCGTGGGCGCCTGTCAAAACGCTGTGGAGGGGGCTGTGGGACATGTGGGAAGGAGTGCACCGACGCCTGGGGGTACTGCCATGACTGCTGCTGGTTAACAGTAACTCCACCATGCCGCATGTGGGTTTTCATAAAGGTAGCGATCCCCTTGTTCACCTGCCTAAGTAGTCCCGAACTATACTGATCTATGATTAACTCCTTAAAGTAAGGGCGATGCAAATGAGGCCTCAACTGGGAGACCAACAACTTGAATTCCTCCGCCTTCTCGTGGCCCTCGTTTCTAGCTGTATCCATCAGTGACTCCATTAGCGCCATGGCTTTAAGGGGGTCGAAAATGGCGGGGGGTCTCTTTGTCTGCTCCAGCAGCTCTTCCCGGATAGTCTCCGTATTCCTGACTGCCGTTCCCGCCAACCGTTGTACTGTACTCTCAAGTTGGGCGATGCGCTCTCTTAGCGCCTGTGAGCACACAAATTATTTCCGTAAGAGGCGTGCCATTCACGCTTACGTAGAATGGAAAAAAAAATCAATCAAATGCCATGACGACAGAATGCTATCAACATGCAAAATACTTGCGGTCTCTAGGCCAGGTGGGCTATCTGCCGCGCCCAAGTGCCGCCGCACATTTGCATTACAATGAAACCAACATAGCATTCCTCGGCTCACACCTTTTGTGAGCATAACAAGTTACATCAGAAATTTTTCTTAGGTTCGCACCATTTGCGAGTATTAAAATTAACTATTTCCACAAGGTTTGCACCACTTGCAAACCTAGCATTCCATTTCCACAAATTCTAGGGCTCACACCTCTTGCGAGCCGTCTCGTACTGTGTCAAAATTTTGTACAACCAATCTCAAAGAGCGTTAACATTTGCAAAATCCATCAACAAGAACATCACTTTCTAAGGTCCTCCAAGCTTGAAACGTCAGATAGGCGTTAGAAAACCAAGATCAAAACAGAAACCGCCAAATTACCTGCTCTGGGGAGGGCTGACGGGCGGCTACTGCTTGCCCCGGTTGTCCTCCTGCGGCTTGAGCCGCTCCTGCGGCTTGAGCTGCCTCTGCGGCTTGAGCTGCCCCTGCGGCTTGGGCTGCCCCTGCGCCCGCTGCTCCTGCTGGTTGAGCTGCTCCTGGCACCGCTGCTCCTGCTGGTTGAGCTGCTCCTGCGGCCGCTGCTCCTGCGGCCTGAGCTGCTCCTGCGGCCGCTGCTCCCTGCTGTGGACCCGCCGGGCGCACGTTCTGTCCCGGGTGCGGTTGTCCGGTGCCTGCGGCCTGAGCTACTCCCGCGGCCGCCGCTCCTGGCTGTGGAGCCACTGGGATCCTCGGAACCTGTGACATCTAAAAACATTCCAGTAAGACACCAAAACTTCCCCACGAGGCGTGGTATTCTTGTTTCGACCATTTACACAAGCCCGAACACGCCTCGCCAGCGGGAAGAAAGGACCCCAGCCATGACGGAGACATGAAACGTGCCATACGAACACCAACGTTCATTCCGCTCACACCAAGCTTTGTAAACGACAAAATTTCACCAAAAACGACTCAATAAAACCAGAAATAAGTGAGTCTTGGGTTCCTACTCTTGTCACCCTTGTACGGCACGTCGGTACTTCTCTGCGCAGCCTACGGACGGGCGGACGAGTTCGTCGTTCTGGTACTGTGAATCGGCTGTCTTGCCCTTTTATAGTGTGTTACGTCAGCTCATTAAGTATGAGCCAATCGTCACGCAGGAAAGATAGTCACCAAGTTTGGTGGTTCTAGTGCAAGTCGTTCGGACGCTATCCGACATCAAAGTTGGCGCGGGCACTTTTAGCCCCCCCCCCCGTCTAGATAGGGTTAAGTCTTTACCATCTTATAAACGGGAAACACAGGCGCTAGGCGTTCTTAACTTCTAAATGCAGTAAGCATGAAATTACTGGCAATTACTATTATAAAAAAATAAGGTTTTCTCGTCATTTATGCAAATTAGATATTCATATACGTGATATCTGCCGATATTCCTCTCGTTCTCAAATACATATTATGTTAATAGTTTGAATAGTCCTATCTTGAAACTGGATTTATAGAATTTCCTCATTACTTATGCAATATTCTGGTAGATGTAACAACATGGTGTGCACACCCTAAGTAACTATTTACGCCCGTCTCAAGGTAGCACTTGGTTATAGCGATTAATATCCAGTAGCTATATGTTTCTAGCAAACGTTGACATTAGAATTCTGCACATCATGTGGGATTTTGACGGGCCCGGGCCCGTGAAGGTCCTAAAAACTTTGCTTTGGCAAACTGTCTTGTTTACCTCCGAAAGTGTCTGTAGCCAAGATGTATCCATACTCAACTCTGGTTCTTTTGCTCTAGCCAATTAATTAATAATGGGACAGACCATAGACTCTTCTTGACAGCAAAATATGTATATATGTGACGCCGAAAGATTGGTGACTAGTACTGCTATGAATTTTCTTTGAATCTCATTATTACTTGACCGCCAGATGGCTGTGCTGTTAACTGTGGATAATTTACCACCTTCGACTATGAGAAATTCACAATGTAGTATGTAAGACAAGCTATCTATGAATAAAGTATATGGATTATATTGCCGTTGGAATAGACCTGGTGACTTGGACAAACCTACTGTTTCCAAGGGAACGGGGTGACAACAATAATGACATGTGCGTTTGATAGTTCTATAGAACGCATTCTATAATTGTATTGGTCGAAATGTTTTTTTTTTCAAAATTAATCTTAATTTGAACAGAAATTTAAATGAGTAATGGTTATATGAAAGTGAAGCATACGTTTGTACTTTTAACTGTGGTTCTCTGAATTACAGTTTTTCATGTCAAAACTTTCTATCAATTCTGTGTTAAAAAACGTAACGGACAAGAAAATATCTCTCTGATATACATAATTTTTGAAGTCCGTTGAGAAATAGCTAATTGAAATTGAAAGTAAAAATCGAAAGATATAAAAAAGAATCGTGATGACTATCCTAGGGACGTCCCTGACCGAGCCTCGGTACTCATTTCCAACTGAGTGAAGTTAGGGAAGTCTTGCCAAGTGCCTTTCATAATGACACAAGATTGGTTACATTACATTACCCACGGTCTCCCGGTTCTGAGACAAATGCTCTGGCGTAATAAGGCACACGACACCACAATGCTTCAAGTAAACCAAACTGCTGCACCACCTTAAAAACTACAGTCCACCGCCACCAGGGCATAACCGGCGACCTTTCACGGGAAATTAGGAGAATCTAGGAAAAGGCAGGAATTGCGGTAGAAACCCGAGGATTGTTGCAGAACACGGGAGAATGTAGGGGAAAGCAGGAGAACATGGGAGAATTCACTGTTGATGTAGACAAGGGAACTAGTGGTGGGAAACACAATCTTGAACAAGAGTCCCGAGATCTCATACCTCCATGAAATATGGGCTTGACATGTAGATGTCAATTTCTTCTTTAATTATGCAAATGACCTCCACCTTAACATAATAAATGCTTCGTGATGTTAAATTGTGATTAACTTACACATGTACCAAGTATGAAATTCCCATCATTTACCACTGAGTCATAGAATTTTTGCATTAATTATGCAAATTAGGTCATCATTTGCATAATTGGTATTTGTTGATGTTCCATCTGCCATAGATTACATGTATGAAAGTACTATAATGTAAAACACTGTAATTATAGAATTTCCTCATTAATTATGCAAATTAAGTCCTCATTTGCACAATTCGTAGTTTATTGTGTACATCTCTCTCTCAGCTACCTACCTACCAAAAATGATGAAAATACATTGTTTCTATCTGGACTTATTGGCTTTTAAAGATTTCGCCCGAAAGTCCCCTGCAGTTTCAGAACAAGATGCTAGGGGGACCAAACCCACGCCACTTATTCCTGACAGGACAATCTATCTGTCACTAAAAAATCAAGACCATAGCATGTTCAGGACAAAAGATTAAAAAAAACGGAAGTTCTGCTGCAGTACCAAGGTCATCCACCAGGAGGCCTATGTTTGTCCTTGACCTTCGTCTTCCTAAGATCTACCAGCATACCAAATATCATCAAAATCCATAAAGGCGTTATGAAGTTATGCTGGCCGCAAATGTGCGGAAACACAAACACACAGACAGACACACACACACACAGACACACAGACACGCCAAAAACAATACCTCCATTTTTCATGGAGGTAAAAACGACGTCGACATAGGAACAATTTCATATTAATCGTATATTTCAAAGCATTTAACCCGAAATGCATGAAAAACAGTCTGCTCGTATAATCAAACCTGAAAACCGGCCAAATGACATAAAGATGTGACACGGTTTTGGCATTGGTCAATATCCGCTTTAATTGTGGCATAAGTACAGTTCACATATTAACCACAGATTGCACTTTGGACCCGATTTAACTAAATAGTGTCGCCCAGACACAAACTGGCCATGGATTGGCCATTCCCACTGACTCACCCTGTGCCTCCACACGGATCCACCATGTTCCTGAATATTTGTCTTTTCTCAGTCCTGGCGTCTGCCCAGGGTTTTGAGCTGACTGTGCTGCACACAAACGACGTGCACTCGCGGATCGAGGAGGTTGACACTACGGGCGGGAGTTGCTCTGCTGCCGAAGCCACGGCCGGAGAGTGTTACGGTGGCATGGCGAGGATGGCCGCCAAGGTAGGCAGTTACTTTAAGCCTGTTACAGGGAATGGGGGATGGTTAGTTCCCAGGGATTGATATGTTTTATTTTTTCTGCATACCTGCAATATAGGTGGTGCGTGTAACGTTAAAAATTACCTGCATCACTCAGAATTAAGGAACTAAAGACGATCACGTTAAAAACTGTAAAGAAACCGTTGCCATTATTTGTTTTACTCTTCATGATCAGTTAAAAAAGAGACCTAAGATACATTAAGATACTTAACTTTAGTCAAATAGTTTATAGAAGAACATTTTGTACGAGCTTGTACAAGGTAAAACGTGGTCATATCATGTAAGGAAACGTCGTGTCTTCACATGACTCGTCACAAAACAGCTGGACTATATGAGTATCAATTGTCGTCAGGGTAACACACCAGCTTCATGGCAGATACCGCCATTGCGTTTGGCCATTGGATTCTAGCTATATACACCGAAGCAAGGCCAAATAAAAATACTTTCTCAGTCTCAAAAATTCTGCACGAGAAAGTAGCAAATGCCAGCAAACTATACAAAGACAACATTGGGGTTAAAGTTCGAGAACAGCTCTAAGTCCGAGAATAGCTCACAACGGTAAACAAAGCCTACCGCCTCATTACCTTCCTCAGAGGGTTATGTGTACAGCAGACACCACACATAGGGGTTGCTGATTTTGTAATCGGTTATAACTTGGGGTGTGGTGCATGTATCTTTATGATAGTTGGTAGGTAGGATGAGATTGGTATAAGAAAGGTCAAGGCAAATTTAGGGTACTCTAGCACTTTTGTAAGGTACTGCAGCGGGGTGCATGTGTATGACACCTGTAGCTCATGTTGGTCTTGTGTGAAACCATATTGTTTTTACCTCCATGAAAAATGGAGGTATTGTTTTTGGCGTGTCTGTCTGTATGTCTGTCTGTCTGTGTGTCTGTGTGTCTGTGTGTGTGTCTGTCTGTGTGTGTTTCCGCAACTTTGTGGTCAGCATAACTTCAGAACGCCTTTATGGATTGCGATTATATTTGGTGAGCTGGTAAGTCTTAGGAAGACAAACGTCAAGGTCAAATATGGGCCTCCTGGTGAATGACCTTGGTACTGCAGCAGAACTTCCGGTTTTTGTATCTTTTGTCCTGAACAAGCTATGGTCTTGACTTTTTGGTGATAGATAGCTTATCCTGTCAGCAATAAGTGGCGTAAGTTTGGTCCCCCTAGCAGCTTGTTCTGGAACTGCAGGGCACTTTCTGGCGAAACCTTTAAAAGCCAATAAGTCCATATAGGAACAACGTATTTTCATGATATTTGATGTGTAGGTAGCTGAGAGAGAGATGTACATGATTAAATACAAATTATGCAAATTAGGACTTTATTTGCATAATTAATGAGGAAATTCTATGATTACAGTGTTTTACATTATACTACTTTCATACATGTAATGTATGTAACCTATGGCAGGCAGAACATCAACAGATACTAATTATGCAAATGATGACCTAATTTGCATAATTTATGCAAAAATTCTATGATTCTTAATGGTGAATAATGGTAATGTCATACTTGGGACATCTGTAAGTTAATCAAAAGTTAACATACATCACGATGCATATATCATGTTAATGCGGAGGTAATTTGTATAATTAGAGAGGAAATTTACATTTACATATCAAGCCCATATTTCATGGTGGTATGAAATCTCGGAATTCTTGTTTATGATTTTTCTTCTCTTTCTTCTTTTTCTTCTTTTTTTAAAAATTGATTCAGCCTGTTCATTTTGGGGCCTAAGGACCTGAAATTTGGTATGGAGGTACAGTGGGCAAATATCCCCAGGCGTTTTTTTTTTTTCGTTTTTGTGATACAGGATTTTAGAATGGTTTTATTTGAGCTTTTTTGGCTGTGTTATAGCAAATGTATTACTGTGTTAATGTGTGGTGTTAACCATATTTGGGCATGAGTCATCACAATAGATTGCAGGGCATCAACCAATAGGCATGCAGTTTTCCTCTATTCTTCTTGCTGATTGGCTGTTGGGATTTAACTGGGTTAACTTCATTAACACCTGCACAGAGCCATTCCATACTGACAGTATATCTGTATTCAAGTGTTTTGGTAGGTATTTCAAGCTTTCCTGCTTCAGCATTGGAATGCGGGGCATAAACGCTTCTTTTTATCTTGAAAATCATGCTATGGGTCCACTAGCTAATAGAGACTCCAATCTGGCAGAATTGGTATTTTTTCTGATAAGAGTAGCTATGGTCACGCGTGGTCTTGCAAGATAAGGTAGAGCTAGATCCCGCTTTGTTTGTGACTGCACAGGTTAGGGAAATACGTCATTACGATGACAACGCGCTGCTGCTTGACGGAGGGGACCAGTTCCAAGGAACGCCGTGGTTTACGGAGTTTCACGGCCTCGCCTCCTCGCGGTTCATGAACAAACTGCAGTACAACGCCATGGTAAGTTATTTATGTTAATCATCACTGAAATAATAGCTATAGGGTGCAATTTTACACTGAAAACTGTTATTTTTCTGTTTCTCCTTCTTCCTCTTCAAATACAAAATGTCGCTAACGCAGGACTAAACGTCAGTTACCATGGTAATTGGAAATTGTAGCAGAAACACTGTGTTGTTTGGTCATACAATGTAGCAGGACAGAGCTAGGGGGCGGTTCAAAACATTTAATTTCTTAGCTTGTTCGTGGTGCTTCAAGTTAGAAATGCTTCCTTTTTTTCCAAGTCGGCAGGAAACCACGACTTTGACAACGGAGTTGCGGGTATTGTTCTCTTTCTACTGAACGTGACGTTTCCTGTGTTGGCCTGTAACATCGACGCCTCCAGAGAGCCGACAATGCAGGGTCTCATCCTGCCTTCTGTTGTCCTGGACATAGGAGAGGAGAAGGTCGGGATAGTCGGATACATCACCAAAAACACACCAGTTTTTTCTCCAACAGGTCAGTAATATTACTGAACTATTCTTCACCTATGAAGAATGTTTAGCACAGTACGGTAACTTTCATCAACATTTATGATCAGATCAAGCTATCTAATCGACATATCTATTTTACACAAATTCACTGAGTTCAGCAATCCAGTGTAATTAAGAGTAAAGTTTAACGCACAGTACAAGCTGCCTAGTGGTAACAATGTCTTCTGCTTTATAGAACACTAGTTATTGTACTATAATAATACTAGTACATGTAATACAAATACTGTAGACCCTAGACAAGTTTTGCGTATCCGTGAAGAATTGAAATGATTAATACTTTGTCATTCCTGAAATCATGTTATTTTTGATGATTATTATGGGTTCACCACACCACGAAGTGGTGGTGAACCCATATTGCTTTTTCTGATGTTTCTTCTCCTCCTCCTTCTCCTTCTCCTCCTTCTCCTGCCATTTTTTAAATGGATTCAGCTTCTTCATTTTAGGGCCCAAGGTCCTGAAATTTGGTATGGAGGTACAGTGGGCAAATACCCCTAGGCGTTTTTTAAATTATTGTGATACAGGCTTTTAGAATGGTTTTATTTGAGTTTTTTGGCTGTGTTATAGCAAATGTATTACTGTGTTAGTGTGCCTTGTTTACCACGTTTGGGCATGAGTCATCACAATGGAATGCAGGGCATCAACCAATAGGCATGCAGCTTTCCTCTATACTTCTTGCTGATTGGCTGTTGGGATTTAACTTGATTAACACCTGCACAGAGCATTTCCACCTGCACAGAGCATTTCTTGCTGATTGGCTGTTGGGATTTGACTTGATTAACACCTGCACAGAGCATTTCCATACTGACAGTATGTCTTTATTCAAGTGTTTTGGTAGGTATTTCAAGCTTTTCTGCTCCAGCATTGGAATGCGGGGCATGAACGTTTTTTTTTTTTTTGAAAATCAACAGTTTGCATTATGCAATTAAAAATCCTAACCAATAAAGTAGGGAATAGCTATCCAACTGTTGTTTTAGTTGTATGTTACTTCATATTATAGTTATATCAATGTAAATCATTGTTTTCCCTTGTGTTTCTCATTCTTTCCCTGCCATGTCGTAAAATGTGGTGAACCCATCGCTATATTTGCTCCAAAGCAAATATTGGCCTTTCTAGTTAATTTATTTTTTCCAAAATTTCTTAGGCAACCTGGTTTTCCTGGACGAGGTGGAATCGGTGCAAGCGGAAGTGACGAAGCTTCTAGGTCAAGGGGTCAACAAAATCATAGCCCTGGGGCATGCTGGGTACTCTAAGGACCAGGATGTGGCGCGGAGGGTGTCGGGAGTGGACGCTGTTGTGGGAGGCCACACCAACACTTTTCTGTACACCGGTAAAATGAACAACATCATCGTATTCTGACTTGTTCCACAGCAGCGCTGGCGTCACTCAAGTTTTTAAGTATTCCAAAAATGCATTTGAGTCCTGAACCCGCTAATTCATTGGTTGAAATACCTTTTGACCTATCATTATGATTTGAAATCTGAATGATTATAATTGCTTCTATGCTGCCTTGTTTCATTTTGGTTGTATGATGAGTTAGCTACGATTTCTTTTTGTTCACGATGAGTTTATCTATTTTTAATTGACCTGTGTTAGTCCATCTTTAACTCTTTTATTGTAATATCATGTCATGTAATTATATGTTAGGGTTATCCCACCAGGAATCTTTGAAAGTTGTCAATAGGCGACATGATTTTCCTGGATAAATAAATAAAACAAACAAATAAAACAAACATTGATATTTGTACACGTTACGGAATGCACCAGGCATGTAGTGCACAGCCAGCATCGCAGTCGTCTGTCATCCCATCATTTTTTTGCAAAGCTATTATCCTGCGGCAATACGTTAGCATTACAACATAGTTATAATATAGCTCTGCATTGGAGAAAGTTGTCTTTAAAAAAGCTGTAACAAACCAAAGCAATAGCGCAATGCCTGCCTGTCCTTGGTGCTGAACACCATCAACATACTAGTATATGAGCGAACGTATCTTTTCCTGACGAACAGCTCAAGACCTGTCCTTACAATAAAGTTTATCAAACCCTGTGAAAATAAAATCTACTGACGAACGGCGTTATTTATAAAGTTATCTCGGTGTACGAGAAAGAATTGAGAGAAATAGCGTTTTAGAGAGTCACGAGTTTCACATTGATCACAGGGAGCATGTTCCGGAGCTAGGTTGGTCGCGCTTTCGGCTAATATAAACTTCGGCCCGAGGGTAAAATCTAAAAAAAAAAACATTTTGGCGACCCCCCCCCCCCAAAAAAAGAGCAAATTTCATTGTTTTGCCATAATATCGTAAGGTCACAAGGTTGCAATTTTCACTATTTTTACTAATATTTAATATCGTTAACCAACAAATATGAGCTTTTACACTCTTTACCACATGTGTTCCCAATACAAGGTGCACCTCCATCGTCAGAGATCCCTCTAGGCCCCTACCCACTGATTGTACACTCCGAGGTGGACCCCGGTCGGCAGGTGCCGGTAGTACAGGCCTACGCCTACGGTAAATACCTCGGGTACCTCCGCCTGACGTTTGACGGCAGAGGGGACCTGGTGAGGTGGAGCGGCAACCCTATTCTTCTCGACAACTCCGTGCCTAAGGGTGAGTATGGTATGGACATCTTACCATACGTTTTCAGGTTACTGAACGATGGTTCTATGTATTATCAAATACTAGTAGTATATAATATTATTATGGGATGTACAAAGTTTTTACAGCGCAACATTTAGAGGGTTAAGCGGCTGCTATACAGATGCCATTGTCGTAGATGCTATATTTGCCTGTAAAGCTTTTAAATGAATTAAATGATGCTTCTTTGCAGCTTCATGAATAAAAGCATGGTCTATTTCAGTAAAACATTGAAGCCTGAAATACGTTTCACTTACATAAATTCACTTTATATCTTTATTTATACTTTATGTCTACGGTTCAGTTTTGCTGTGTTGAATTTCTTTATAAATGCTGAAGGCATGTTTCCGCACGTGTGACGTAAGCAGTGGGTCAAAGTTCGTCGGAATATGGTGCCACTCCCGTCCCTGTTGAGAGAAGGTTGGTATACCTTGGTGTAGACTGAGACGGGGGTCGGGTCAAACTTCCGACAAACTTAGACCCAGTGCTGACATCACATGTGCGAAAAAAACACCTACCTACAGCACCACAGTCCGATAACTGACGAATAGTTTTCTTTTAAAATGTCGAAGATCCCGAAGTGCTGGAGATGGTGACAGATCTTAAGAAAAGATTAAACCATACCAAGGAGGTGATCGGCAGAACCAACGTTTTCCTCCAAGGAGTTTACGAAACCTGCACGGTGGTAAGATTAGCGAACCAGATGTTTACTGAGTTAACTTCAAAACTTAACAGTCGTCTGTTGTAGTTTTTTTTTATTGAAACAACAAAATACAAGACATGGTACAAGACACAGAGGTGGATACTCTAGCCGAAGCTAATATTAATCACACCCCTGACATAGAATACAAATTACAGGTATAACAATGACAATACAACAAGTGAGCGTTCGTATATACAAAGCTAACGGCAATATAAATCATTAGGCAACTGTAAACCGTTGGGTATTAAGTATAAAGGTTTGAGTAAGGATCAGAATTTTTTTGTTAACGTCAAGACGTAGAAGGGGCGAACCCCTCAGTAAAAGATTAATACTGGCTTGGTCAGACAAGTTGCGCAAGTCAAAAGTAGAGTCTACTAGGCTCTGTAAGTTGCTGAGAAGGGTCACTCTATGCAAGTTGTATACAGGGCAGTGCAAAAGGAAATGTACAATGTCTTCGCATTTAGACCCACAGGTACAGGCAGAACTAAGAACTAAATTACGTTGATATAAACTATGATTTAAGCTGCAGGTCCCAATGCGGAGTCGAGTAAGGAGGGCGCAAGGGTACCGGGGGCCGTGACTAAAATGCGGATAAAGGGCAGGACGTACTAACTTAACTAAATGTTTTTTAAAAAGTGAAAGATTAAGAGAACGAACATCTACATCAAGACTATTCCAGTGTTGCGTTGCATATGTTGTAGTTCAAGAATAAAATAGTTCGGAATAAAAAAAAACACCTAAATCGCAGAAAATCAAACATGCATGAGTCTTGCTAAGAGATATGTGTCAAAATAGAGGCAACAATATGGCTCATGTTCAGATATTTCATAGAATACAGTACATCCTGAATTTGACGATCTTATCCATTCGACGATTCAGTGGCTTGCGTGAACGACCTACGTGAAGAAAAGGTCAACTGCAGTTAAAATTGGAATTCTAGAGGTTCTCTCATTCCTGTTTTGTACACTGAACTAAAGCGACGGTCACAACCCGCCGTACGTGCTTCTGCGTGCTGTCTACGTGCAAAAACGTGGGCAAACGTAGGGCATCCGTGCGTGGTGAGTACCACCTCCGTACGGAATCCTGGGGATTTGGGAGCACGCAGACACGCCGTAGAACTTTAAGTGCATGTAAAACTTTTTCTACGTGCGGTCTGCGGATTCACCACCCGTGCGTGCGAGTACGGGCGACGTGCTTGCCCGGTACGTGCCGTGCGAAAGAAGCACGTGTGATTACGGCCTCCTTACGATAAAGTTGCAATCGCACAGAGATCGTACGTTGTAAGCACGTATAACTCACTTACCACTTGCGCAACGTACAATGCACGCAACCGCTCACTGCCAGACGTAACGTGCAGACCACACTCTTACACCTTGCGCAACCGTGCGATTGACGTGCGAGTGACGTGCGTCGACGCCACTCCTTCCCTACGTTTTCAGAAAAAACGTAGCAGACGTAGCCTCCCATAAAACGTACGGGCAAAAAGCACGTACGGCGGGTTGTGACCGTAGCTTAAAGGTCCACAGTACGGTCGAAATGAACCGGGAGAGGGGTGTACTTTTACGTGCACGTTTATCATTATCTCTATTGTAAGGAATAAATTTATACAGCTAATTAACAGAATAATTATGCTACAATTGTTTTTCTAATCCTCCCAGATGGAGTGTAACATGGGGAATCTGATCACGGACGCCATGGTGCACCAAAACATCAAGTATCCAGACGAGATGAACTGGAACGACGTGGCCATTGCAGTATACAACAGCGACAGCATAAGGGCATCAATGCGGATAGGTGAATCATTTTAGATCAAGTATTTTTAATCTCATCTCCCCTTATTTATCCCTTAATCCACTATCACACATTCAGAACATTCTCCAAATTGGACACAAACCAAAAAAAGACAAAGGTTTGTTGTTCGGGAGCAATCTGCCTAAACTAAGGCCGCGCCTAACTTTCGATATGATTCGAATCAGATTTGAGTTATATCTGAGTCAATCTTGACTGCCAACCACGCATCATCACTGCCCACTTACTCCCGACCACCAGCTAACCAGTCCACAAACATAGCCCAACCTCCTGTCCACTATTCAATGTTTTTTAAACCTCCGGCTGCCGCAGACGGAGTATTCGTATCCAACCTCACTGAACACTCACTAACTACAGGCGACCTTGCTTACGACTTACTCCCAACCATGCTTGGGAGGGAGTTTGGCAGTGATCGGGAGGCCACATTCGGCAATACATGTATGAGTGACAGGGCTTTAGTGTAAATTATTCAGCCGTTCATCTGTTCACACTAATGTGTAGTATTTTAGTACATATTTGTATACTTCTTCTTCTTCTTCTTAACTACCCTCGAACGACCCCTGTACAGGGTATCACTGAGGGGGGGAAGCGGTGCGTGGGTTATGGCAGGGCGGCTTCTGCCCTGGCCTTAAAACCCTCTGCTGTCGGTGACCTCACCACTGGGCCCGGCAGCTGATTCCACTCGCTTACCATGCGGGGGGAAAAAGAAAACTTAAAACAGTCTTTACGTGCTGCGAAATAGCTGGTATTTGTAATCATGGCTACCTCTGGTTCTTTTTGGGCAGGTTTCAGGTATTTGTCATAAGGAATATTACAGGTAAAGGTATACAGTGTCCTGTTTTATATCCATTAGACCACGTGTAGTCGATATTTTGTGCATGTATATACATACAATAGCAATTATACAATTGTTTTCATCTCATTCTTTTAAAGGTGTGATTGATATAGAATCGGTACTGTTTACCCTACCCTTTGGAAACACGTTTGACATCGTGGAACTGAGGGGTGAACACCTGCACGAAGCGTTCGAACACTCCGGGTCGAGGTGGTCTTCGGGGGAGTTCTTGCAAGTTTCAGGTGATTTTAAATCTGCATTAGGCCACAGCATAGACCGGTGCAGTGGCCAAGTGGGTAGAGTGTTCGCCTTGCATTCGGTAGGTCGTGAGTTCGATCCCCGGCCGAGTCATACCAAAGACTTTAAAAATGGTACATACTGCTTTCTCTGCTTAGCAGTCATCAGTTGGGAAAGAGTATGGGAGTTAAACTGATGGGAGTTAAACACACACCACTACCAGTGGACTAGCCCCCTGCTGTAGTGACTTGTGTGTGTGGCCCAGGGCTAATGAACGGAGATGGGCGCCGCCCTATGCGTCACTTGACGCGGGAATGCTCTTTAACTTTAACTTTTAACTTAGGCCACAGCAAGTTAAGTTTATGGGTGACATCACATATACACATCCACCATCACATATGCAAGGAATGAAATATATCACTGAATTAAAGTAAAAGACATAACATCTACCACAAACTACAGGAATATTGGTTAAATACGACCTGACCAAACCCCGGGGCAGCAGGGTGGTATCTCTGGAGGCCCGGTGTACCCGCTGTGATGTTCCCGAGTTTACACCCGTACAGACAGACGCTGTCTACAAGGTACAATCTTAATGCTGCGTTATGTAACATTAGGACGATACATATAGAATACAACACGGGGTATTCCGTATCGCCCGAGGTACCAGCCCGACCGCGCGTCGGATCGCCCGACGGCCGAAGGCCGGAGGGAGATCCGATCCGCGGGAGGGCTGGGACCGAGGGTGATGCGGAATACACCGTGTTGTATTTTATTTATGTCATACCCACCCAAGAAAACACGCCTTTCAATGCAAAATGAGCAGAAAGTTGGTGTCCTTAAACCCAAAAAGTGCAACAACATCAATTCCAACGTCCGAATTTTGCATTCGAATTTTCGAAAGCGTTGCACGCGGTTAGGGCGAAACGCGTTCGAATCGTTCTATGGAACATTTGGAAGCCCCGGGCCGTACGCGTTAAGAAGCCCCGGGCCGTACCGCTAGTTACCACACGGGCCGGAACACCCGTATCGAACGTAATCGCGGCCCAGGTAGGACATAAATATAGAATACAACACGGGGTATTCCGTATCGCCCGAGGTATCGGCCCGACCGCGGGTCGGATCGCCGACGGCCGCAGGCCGGAGGGCAATCCGACTCGCGGGAGGGCCGGGACCGAGGGCGATGCGAAATACTCCGTGTTGTATTTTATTTATGTCATACCCACCCAAGAAAACGCGCCTTTATAATGCAAGATGAGCCAAAAATTGGTGCCCCTAAACCCTCAAATGCAACAACATCAGTTCCAACATTCGGATTCTGTATTCGAATTTTCGAAAGGGGCACACGCGGTTAGGGCGAAACGCGTTCGAATCGTTTTATGGAAGCCATGCAAGCGTTCGATAACGGGTTCCGGACCGGGCCGTACCGTAAAGTTATCGCGGCCCGGGTATGATATAAAAAAAGTATATTTTCTGGTTAGTTGAGGTGAGGTGCCAAGATATAGTGTGTTTAAAAGTTGGAAACACAGCTGTCAGCCATAGCATGAAAGTTCACCTGTGTTGGTACAAGTCATTATGAAATGAAGACTAAGCTTTTAACTTCCAACACTTAGATTACAGAATTGGGACTTACCCAAATTTTTGGTTGACCCCATCAACCTTGTTCACGGAATGGACCCGTCTACTCTTGAAACGTGACGTCAGAGACACGTGACCGTAGCAGCGGGTCATACGTACCAGATAACTTGTGTCGCCCCCCGTCTCTGTTCAGGGTAGGTCTGTGTCAGCCATGTTTGTTTACATTCTGGTCGTTTGTGGTGGTGCCACAACCTGGGAGCGCCTCGTGTGGGCTGTCCTGGCAAAAACTACAAATGTGTTGAAAAGAGAACGTACAATCACCCGATATTTTTTTCAATTAAAATATTTCATTTTTTTTTCAAAAGTGTTACATGATGTCCCTACCTATTTCTAGCCATCTGGTGTTATGAAAGTCAAACTGTAGTTCAACAATAGAAAAAATGCACAGATTTTCGGATGACCGTGCTGAAAAGTTTAAAAGTCTATAAATGTTCCAACACAGGCTGACCAACCCAGCAGAGGACCGCAGGTGGTGGTAGTTATACACTATGCTGCCCCTATGGCTATTGACTAGCTATGGGACTGATGGATGGATGGATGGATGGATGGATGGATGGATGGATGGATGGATGGATGGATGGATGGATGGATGGATGGATGGATGGATGGATGGATGGATTGATGGATGGATGGATTTGTAATCCGTGACCCCGCCCTCACCCTCGACCTTGTTGAAAAACAGTCATATGTATGTACGGAACAAGCTTTCGAGTTTAAATAAAGACTACTACTACTACTACTACTACTACTACTACTACTACTACTACTACTACTACTACTACTACTACTACTACTACTACTACTACATGGATGGATGGATGGAAATGTGCCAATTATATGCAAATGACACAGCACCGGAAGGTAAATTTTCCGTCGGTTGCAAGAACCCTACTTTCCTAAACCTTATTTAGTCACAGTTGGGATTTTTCTTTCTTTTTTTCAGCTGATTCTACCTTCCCACCTTGCGAACGGTGAAAGAGGCTACAGCATGATAGCGGACAACAAACTCAGCCATCACATACCAGGTATAAGTATCACATACCAATGGATCGTGAACCAGGGATCCTGTGCATATTGTCATAGATCTATGATTAGCTTTCAATCACAATTAGCAGTTCAACCAACGAGAGAATAGTAGCTCATTCAGCCAATGAGAGAGTCGCAGAATTCCCCTCAAATATTTGCATTTCGTCGTTTTTTCTAAAGGTCTAAGAAACTTCTTCTTTTAAATTTTAAAACCGTTCAGAAAATATTATGTTATAGCCATTTTGAGATAGTAAAAGTATTTTTTCCTATTTCAACAGAACTACTCGACTCAGACATGTTGATTGGTTACATCAGGGCCATGTCGCCCATCACTACTGGGCTGGACCGCCGCATTACCTTCGCCGATGAAGCGCCACCTTGCGCTTCGGGTGGAACAACATCTGTTCTCAACATGGGTTTCGTCATGGTTGTTGTTTTCCTTGAAGTGGCTTTTTCTGATTTTTGAATATGTTTTCTCTCTAAAGCAGACTATACGGCCGCGGCGGTGGCAAGGCAGTACCCATCGTAACTCCTCTGGCCAATGAGTACTGCCTTGCCACCGTATAATCTGCTTGGGCATTAATCTTTACTTCGTATCCAAATTAGTCATTAAAATCACAGTACAAGTCGTATAGGTAGTCAAATTCTGAGGTGTTAGGCTTCTTTGACAGTCAGAAAAGTCAGATCAGATTAAAAATAGCCAGACAATTATCCATAATTCGTAATTCATAAACGTAAAAAAAAGTAAATAAATGAACAATACAAAGTGACGACGGACTCACCGCCACTTGTACAACACTAGAAAGAAGTAACAAGACCAAAAATAATTGAAAATGCTTAAAGTGTAAAGTAGTTGAAATTAGACGAATAAATGGGTTATCGTTTAAATGCTACCTAAACTACCCTTGTTACTGTTTAAAGTTAAAACTTTTGGTCCAACACAAAAAAATTCTCTCACCTAGAGCTTTCGACCTGAAGCGTGTCACGTGGTTTCTTTGAAGTGTGACGTCAACACTGGGTCAAAGGTATCTGGTAGACGATGTCGGCCCCCGTCGCGGTTCAATGAAGGGTGATGGGCCCTGATGTATATGGCTTCCTTTAGCCCTGTTAAGAAATAGTGTCCAAAAACCTTACAGTGTCAAGTGAAACAAAGTGTCCGACTGACTCTATGTGGATGTGTTGGGACACCTATGAACTGACAGAGCTTGGCCGTGTATGACTGTATGTTCTTGGAACCTGATTTTTAGAGACCACGAAATTGAACAATATAATTGAGCACCACTTCATTAAAATATCTTGAGTATGGTTTGATCACCTTTTTGGTGATCTCAGGGGCAGGCCTACTGGTATATAAGTTTATGCCGTCTGCAAGAATTCTTGGAATTCTACAGGAATGTGTCTATAGGTATGTATGTGCTGTATTAAATTGAATACAACTCAAGAAACCATGTGTTATATAATTGCCTTCGACTGAAGGCTATGCCTTCGGAGAAGGCTATGAAATCGCTTTTGCACTGTTTGGCAGATTAGGCACGATAACTATTGAAGGCAAGGTCCGAGGTTCACGATTTTTGGCAGGCAGGTTGATTTGGGGGTGGCCATTGTCAAGGCTAAAAATGGGCTTCGTGGGGGGTTCCTAAGTCACTGTAGTTGACCTTGGTTTTTGGTATTTTTTCCTTGTCATCAAGATATCTCGAGTATCCTTATATGGATGTTCATGATTTTTAGTGGGCAAGTTACCGTTGAAAATGCCGAGGTCAAGTTCAAAGATGGGCCCCGTGGGGGTTTCTATGTCACTGCAGTTGACCTTTGTTTTTTGTGTTTTCTCTTGTGAGCAAGATAACTCAAGAATCTTTAAATGGATGTTCATGTTTTTTAGTTGGCAAGTTACCATTGACAATACCAAGGTCAAGTTCGGATATGGGCTTCGTGGGGGGTCCCCACGTCATTGAATTAGAAAGTACTGCAGCGAAACTTCTGGTTTTTAAATCTCGTGATCTGGACGTGCTAAGGTCATCATTTTTAGATGGTAGGTAGCTCTCGTGCTCAGAAAAAAGTGCCATAAGTTTGCGCCCCGTAGCAGCTTGTTTGGGAAATGCAGAGGCATTTGTTTGAAAATGTTTGAAGTAGGATAGCTCAAGAACTGGTTGACGGATTGTTGTTATTTTTGGTATCTCGGTAGCTTAAGTGATGCTTGACCTAATTTGCTGAATATTTTGCAAATCACGATTTAATTTACATAGTTAATGACAGAAGTCTATATATTTGCTGGGTTCTGTGATGAAACAATTAAAATGGTGGCATATGTAATCAAGAGGAAGAGATTTGCATTATGTAAATTGTGACTTAATGTGATTAATCTGTAGTAGGCTGTGTGTTGATGTAATAGAACAATTTGTATTCCCTTTATAAGTATAGGCAAGGGTTTTGTCCTTGTATATAGGACAGTGTAGTCAGGGTTAAGTAGGTTATGGTAACAAAATGACAGCAAGGGTTTAGAGTTGTTTGTTGAAATAATAGATAATAGATAGTGTGAACTAGATTCAGGTAAAAACAACACTGGCAGCGTGTAGAGTTTGTTGAAACAACAGCACCCGTGAAGTGTCCTTATAAGAAGAGTCTTATTTGTTCAGGCAACAGGCCTGACAAGTTAGTACTGTATATCAAAATAGATGCTCGTTATGACACTTTCTTTGGCGCTTTTAAAATCATATCCAGTTGGTTAAGTAACTGTTATTTTGCATATCTTATTACTTGGATGTTTAATCATTACCACCACATTCTGTGTGATTTCTATATGCTTGTCAGTAAATTTACCAATGATTACATTAGTTGCTTTTTGAAGGTTCTTGCCCCTGACTCACTAAAAACATTACCTCTTTGTTTCACAAACCACCAGCCTTTTAGCCTGACTCTTTCATCAGATCGCTTAAAGAAACTATGGGTTGTTTTCAAGGGCAAAGGGCAAATCCATGTGACACATCTGGTACACTGACTGTCTATCACATGGGCACCGTTCAATATAACATCGGGGGTGGGTGGGGTGGTAATGTCTGTGAATAATATAACATCCATATCATGGTACTATATTGTGCAAGGCATTCATAAGATGACACATAAAATACGGGGCAAGTATTCGGTTTCCAATTACACAAAAGCAAGTTGAAGTGGTGGAAAAGTTACATAGTCAGCAAGTAAAACAGGCCCTCAGCACTACATTAATTTCCACATGAGAACAGACTGAGGGCTTAATTGTCAACTTCATATGTAACTTCGTGAAGTATTTATCAATTCTTTCAATTATGTCCTGCAGGCCCAATTGTAACCTCAGTCCTGAAGTTCCAGTCCTTACCCTTGAACCCCCTTAAGTCCGGGTCTGCCTAAATACCTCAACCGACCGCGTAATGGGTTAATATGCAGTATACATGGGCCAACAACCCTTTCCAACGCTCTGGATACATTGTCTATGCTTGTATGAATGAAATTTAAAAGCATGAAGGAAGAGATCGACATCCAACTATTGAAATAAATGATCTGTCCAGCCACCCCCCCCCGAATGGGGTCAATGGAGGTCAAGCCGGTAGGCGTACGTGCTTAGCAGCTTGGATGTCAGACTGGAAAACACTCTGTATATAGCTATTATGAGTTGGTTATGATAGTATTTGTGCTTTATAAACCAGCATCTTTGCGTTCTGTTGCCTGTATAAAGCAAAATGTGTCCAGAGATTCCCCATGCAGGCCCAACGATGAATAACTTTTAAAAACTGGTAAATACGTCAGAGTTACAGTGTTTTTTCCATTCATACAAGCATAGACAATGTATCCAGATCGTTGGAGGCCGCGCCGGTTGAGGTAACGGTTGAGGTATTTAGGCATACCGTTAAGTCCTGCATTCCCGGTCCTATTTATGCTTTAGTCTTGCATTCCCGGTCCCATTTATGTTTCAGTCCTGCAGTCCCAGTGCTATTCATCACTGTATTAACTTATAAATATCATCAATAACAACAATAAACATCTACACAAAAATACTACCATATACAAACAAAAACACCCACCAAAACAATATCACACAGTCGAAGGCATGAGCCCTACGAACTCTAGTTTCATTTGTATAAGCAATGTAATAGTTAACAATAGCCCTGATAACCAACCTCGTAATTATATCTTCGTGGCATTTGGTACGTTATAAGTTGGGATTTATTATACTTGTTACCTTCGCCAAGAAGGTTATGTTTTCAGTAGCGTTTGTCTGTGTGTTTGTGTGTGAGTGTGGTTTAGCAAGATAACTCGAGAAGCAGTCGATGGATTGAAATGAAACTTGGTAGGTGGGTAGGTCTTCATAAGACCTAGAAATGAGTAGATTTTGGGCCCCCTGACGGCTTTCCTAGGTACTGCAGCTGAACTTCGGGTTTTAATATCTCATGTTCTGGACATGCTAGGGTCACGAATTTTAGTTAGTAGATGGCTCTTGGGGTAGGGAAGAAGTGACACGAGCTTGGGTCCCCTAGCGCCTTGTTCTGAAACTGCAGGAGCATTTGTTGAAAAAAATTTGAAGGACGATAACTCAAGAACCGGTTGACGTATTGTCGTGATTTTTGGTATGTAGGTAGTTGAAGTGATACTTGACATAATCAGATTGCAATTATGCAAATCAGGACCTAATTTGCATAATTACTGAGGAAATTCTATAAATCTGCTTTTTTCGATAATAGAACTATGAAACACTTGTGACATCTACTTGAATACAAGAAAAACATCTGAGGATATAGATTATGTAAATGAGGACCAAATTTGCATAACTGATGGCATATTTTTATAATTTCATAGTTGTAACTGCTGGGAATTTCATACTTGCCACATTTGGAAGTTAAGTGAAAGTGAACATCAATAAACATAATTTATTCAAATTAAGACCTCATTTGCATAATTTATGAGGAAGAGCTATAATAGCTTTTTGTTATGATAAGGCTGTCATTGGATGGAGAATATGATCAACTGATATAATCCATGCAAATGAGGCTCTTATTTACAAAATCAATGATTAAAATTGTATAATTCGTCACCCGCAAGGGTTAACATCATTTGGCGAAGGTATGAGATCGCGAAACTCTTGTTTAACTATCTTATACTTATTTGCACCAACAAAGCTTCCTCTCTCATTACTATAAAAACAGTGAAGGTCACAAATTCAGGTCGTCAACATGTGTTCTGTTATAATTGTTTTAATCATGATAATCAATTTAGTGTTCTTATACATGATAAAGGTGAGCATAAAACATATAATCGATTTTACATTAGGTACATTCTGTTAATTTTTGATTTGAATATTACCATCAATCACTTTATTTCAAGATGTCATAGTTATTATTGGATACCCTGCATTACAAATGGTTCTTGAAAAATTGTTAATAAGAATTGTCAACTTTTAGTAAGAGTATTGTAAAAATGAATGTATGAAATGAAAAGCATCTAACTGTTACTATAACAACGTACCAACCGCTGAATACTTAGCAAAAATCATGTTTATGCTGATTGTCCCTATATTGCCAGTACTTAAGTTCTGTATTATTGCTCAAACACGTACTTTTTTTCCAAGCACTTGCTACATATTGTCAGTTTTCTTCTATTAAATCACATACATGAAGTCAATTAAGTAAGACCTTCTCGTACAAAGACAATATCAGAAATATACATGTTGCAATATACATATAAAGTGATTTGTAGTACATGAAGTATTCAACACTACATACCAGAGCAACCAGTTCAATAAAAGTTTGATCAAACGTTGCTACTTGTGGTGTTATTTTGATAAGGTAGTCCAGAAAAGGATGGCTGAATAAAACCAGGACCTTGAACTGTGACTGTCAGACCCTCGCTATAATAAGTATCAATCCCTTTACCTGGAGACTGGAGTACGTAAACGGCCTGTAGATGGACGCTCGTGTTTTTCTTCCTCCGTTTCCTCACGTATTTTTATCCGAAGATTTTATTTGGATCCTCCATCAGCTTGACGAGTCAGCTATATTTTTTCCAGTGGTCATATATGTGTGATCCTTCACAGAAGCTGAAGACCGTCTCCCGAGACGAAAAGATCCCCAGGAATATTACATCAGAGTACATCAGAGAGACATGGTTGCCGCAAATTAACACCAGAAGCATTCGATAACTGTTTTGCTTTGCAGCATTCCATTGACGAGTAGTAGACCAAGTGATCCTTTTCAGCATCTGTGTTTGTTTTCGGCAGTTTGCTTAAGTTCCGTGTCATTGACCATGTTTGATACCTACTTGACTTTCAACTGGAAGGTGCACATGAGTAGTACAGTGTTTTCGACATCCCAGTATGCAGAAGGCTGCGAAATGTGGTGAAACTTTCATGTTAGATTTTTTTATCGACACTAGAGAGTCACTGCGTCTAGTTTGCCGTATGATAGAGCGTTAGTCCTTCAATATAGATCGCTTACAATGTAGTATGAATATGCATATAATATTCTACATTAGTTCTGTGTTGAACGCTTAGATAACGCAGTGCACTGTCCTCCAACCTGGATCCAACCGGTATGGATCAGAATTTTTCAGTTCTGGGCTGTATTTTTCGTAGGCGAGATTGTCATTCACAAGGTCACCCTATGCTTCTTGATTTCTTGAGGTTGGATGAAAGTTAATTGAAGACGTGTACACATGTTTGTGCGAGTTTTCTTCGACGCGACGCCATTTTATTTATTTTTTGCTCTCATACAGCTTCAAGGTCTGACAGTCACAGCTCATTGGTTCATTGCTATCAAATTTAAAGATCTTTTTCAAGAATAAAATATTTCCACCATTGGACTAGCTGCTGCTGTCACGTATCACTCTACGGTTTCTACATATTCATATCTTGTTGTTGCTACGCTTAATGGAATTCAATTTGGCTGCGAAGGTAAGTAATGTTTTAGATCCAAAGTTCTGAAGCAACGCTCTAAATTAAAACACGTTCATATCCAGCACTTTTTGTCAGCTTTCGTTTACAGATTTGTTTCTAGTTAAGAATAAAAATCCCTAGAACAAGAGTCCAAATCAAGACTCTAAAACCCCTTAGCCTACCCCCCTCCCCCGCGCATACACTCGTTAACAGTTTTATTAAAGTCCTGCTCGAATCTTACACTATTTTGCCTAAAGTGCATAATGAGGCACAATACATTCTTAGATGTCAACATTAGAGGCAAGTGACTATTACTTTAAAAATGCCTGTTACCAATGTAGGTACATTACACAACAGGTTGAATATTAATATCAATGCATATGTTATGTTCAAGTTATAACATTTTGTTTGTTAAAGTGCTAGGCTAGGAACATGGAAAAAACGCCCATGATGCTGGTTCCATGTGCCCTACACTAATGTTAAAAAACATTGCAACCAATTCAGAATGCAAGAGATTCAAATTGATATTACAGTGATTGCCAATGGTTCTTGTATTTAGATTGTGTACATTTTTTTAATTCAAAAGTATCCACGTAATGACGCTAATTTATTCTTTTTTTTTACTTTGCCGGTCAACAATGCGTTCATCAACAACAATCAAAATTGCCAAGTTAGCATTTTCTAAGAAATTACAAAATGTATGCACTTTTATCATCCATTTAAAGTTCGTGTTGAGGCATAAGATGTGCTTACATAAACGGATTCAGAGTTTGCTAATTAGTAATTCAACCAATGAGACAGATTCTGTATATCCGTGAAATATAGTATTTGCGTTTGTTTGTTTGTTTGTTTGGGGATTCTACCTTTCGGTGGAGGTGGGTGGGGCTATCTTTTGAATGGAGCGGTCGATGCAGTCTGCCGCCATGCTATCATTGGTTGACTCGCTAATTGTGTTGGATAATCAGAGTCAGTCTATTCAAACATGCAAATGTGGAGGCAACCGTGGCAGGCAGCTTCCTAACGGCATCATTTTTTTACCTCCTTGGCAAGACTTACTTTGATATCACTATAATAGTCAACCTCTTTTAGTGCAATATTGTTTCTTAGAGCAAAGTGCTACAAGACAAATACAATTTCTGCCCAAAACTTTTTGTTGGAATGAAATGCACTTCCAAAAAAGACGATTTTGATTTAATACGTTTTTATTAAGCATTGCTTTTTGTACCAGTATGTTTTTTTTTACTCAAACCAAACTCGGGTGACGTATAGGATACAATTTGTACAATTTTATAATGTATTGCAGCCACAAAAAGATTAGTCAATCTACATTTCCAATATATAAAAACCCTAGTCCTGCGGTGTCCAACGATTGTTGGGTTGCACATACCATTCATATAGCACCATTTATAGGTACGATTGGGAGGTATTTCTCGCGCAACGCATCACACCGCAGCGAAACGCAAGGAATGCGGAAGAATGGGGCAAAAAAAGTCGGGTTTATAACTTGATTAAGAAATATTGTGTAAAAGATGCCAAAAGGTCAAGGTTTTGATTTTGTGACAAAATGCATTGTGTTCAATAACAACTTGGCAAGCTTCTGCCTCTTAGAAAACAAGAATTTAGTCTGTGAGAAACTAATTTCTGCACCCTGAAATAAAAATCGAAGGTGGTTAGCTAGAGGCAACGAGGGAATAGGTACTGCGAGAATGATGGTTAATTTGCTATCATGTGTTACGGGTTCCCTCCCCTGGGATCTCCCATGGCCAGTAGGTGTTAGGCGGTGTGACGGTGGGGAGGGACACACGCTGTGCTGTGTTACGGGTTCCCTCCCCTGGGATCTCCCACGGCCAGTAGGTGTTAGGTAGTGTGACGGTGGGGAGAGACACACGTCGCCGTGTGAAACAGGTTCCCTCCCCTGGGATCTCCCATGGCCAGTAGGTGTTAGGTAGTGTGGCGGTGGGGAGGGGCACAGGCTGTGGTGTGTTACAGAGTCCCTCCCCTGGGATCTCCCATGGCCAGTAGGTGTTAGGTAGTGTGACGGTGGGGAGAGACACACGTCGCCGTGTGAAACTGGTTCCCTCCCCTGGGATCTCCCACGGCCAGTAGGTGTTAGGTAGTGTGGCGGTGGGGAGGGGCACAGGCTGTGGTGTGTTACAGAGTTCCTTCCCTGGGATCTCCCATGGCCAGTAGGTGTTAGGTAGTGTGACGGTGGGGAGAGACACACGTCGCCGCGTGAAACTGGTTCCCTCCCCTGGGATCTCCCATGGCCAGTAGGTGTTAGGTAGTGTGACGGTGGGGAGGGGAGCACGCTGTGCTGTGTTACGGGTTCCCTCCCCTGGGATCTCCCATGGCCAGTACGTGTTAGGTAGTGTGACGGTGGGGAGGGACACACGCTGTGCTGTGTTACGGGTTCCCTCCCCTGGGATCTCCCATGGCCAGTAGGTGTTAGGTAGTGTGACGGTGGGGAGGGACGCACGCCGTGGTGTGATACGGGTTCCCTCCCCTGAGATCTCCCATGACCCCGTCCCGGATGTACCAGGGGATGTGAGGAAGGCGATGTGAGCCTCCGTGACCTCCTGACCTCTCGACAGAATCGCATCTGTGACGTTGACGTACGTCCTCACACTTTGGTCGATAGCCTGGGATAACAAACCTGTCCTCAGATTTCTACGGGCTCTTATACCCTGGGCATCGATGGCCATTCTGTAAACGCTATCACCCTGAGCATTTGTCTGTTCAGCTGACCCATATGTGGCCATGGATCTTCCAGACCGGTGTCTGTTGGAAGTAATTGTGACATCCCGGAAGGCCTGTCTGTTTTGGCCCCTATTTCTGACAACATGAAGCGAAAACCCTGCAGGATCAGCATAGAAAGGCATGGGGCCGCTCTCATCGTCATCTGGGATCTCACTGTAGGTATGGTGTGGGACAGGCAGGGGGCGCTGTGCAGCAGTTGCATGTTCTGTGATCTCCCAGGGTGTGCGCGGGAGAGCCGGCAGAGGGCGCTGTGCAGCGGCCATGTGATCTGGGATCTCACAGTAGGTGGGTTCAATGGACTGTAGAACAACCGGCAATGACCTACAGGATGCGGTATCGTGTGGAGCGCCGCCGGGCTCACGAGTGCGTGCAGGGAGGGAGGCTGACCGGACCATCACTTCCTCGTGCGGGAGACTCGGCAGGGGCCTCTGAGCACAAGCTACGTCATCTGGAATCTCGCTGTAAGTAGGTTTGACGGAGTGCAGGGCAGCGGGCAATGATATACAGGAAACTGAGCTATCCGACGCCATCTTGCCTGACCATGCAGGGAGGGAAGCAGACCGAAGCAAGCCGGGGAAAGCAACCCCAGGCGGGACGGTCCAGACATGTGCATCGTCACTGTCCCTCTCATCCTCGCTCGTCCTTTTGGAGCACAGCTTCAATACCAACACTAGAAGGGACGACAAGACCAGACCGACCAATGCTGAAACTGCAACAACAGATATGAGAACATGATCTGTTGCCGGAGGCACCTCTGGTCCAGGTGCCGTTCTTACCTGCAGTGTAGAGTTTTCTACCATTTCTGAAGATGTGTAGTCTTTCTCTGTATGTCCAGTGTAGTGTGTCAGGCTGATGGAGTGGTCAGTGTGTGTTCCGTAAGTGGCTGCTGTCTGTGTCGGACCATGGTTCTGGGAAGTGGCGAACGGCAGCTCCGTGCGTTCATCTTTGGTGAGCAGAATGCATGTGATGTTCTTTGCATTGTCATGGTTGGCGTTTGCATGGGGCGTGTGTGTGTGGCCGTACCCAGACTCCGTGGTGGTGAGTGTGTTTGTGTCTTGTGTCTGGACAAACGACATGCCAACACCTTCAAAGGTTGAATTCCCTGTGGACAAGGAAACCAGTCGGAAGTATGAACTTCCACCTAGTTCCATTGCGATGCCTTCATCGTATTCCCACACCTGCCTGCACTGCTCAAGCGCGTTCGTCTCCAGTTTGTCTGTCAGAGAGTCGTCAGTGGCCAGTACAACTACAGGGGGCTGGATGGAGATCATCTTCAGAGAACTATCCAAATTTCCACATGCAAATGACCTGGGAATGATGTTATAAGGCACCTTCTTAGATGAATCGAACATCCACCAAAACGAGAGTTCAGGGGTTACCCCACTGCGGCTGACACAGCTTGAAGAGGAACCTGGGCACCACAACAGCCAATGTTGTTAACCCTCTCATGGCATTGGCTAACCGATATAGGCTCCATATCATCTCATGTGGCTTTGCATCATGAACAGATGACAGCATACCACTGCTGACATGGAGACTTCTCAGCCGAGACTGTCCCCGGAACACATCTTCATCCAAACTCCACAGATCATTACCACTCAGATCTATCCAGCTCGGCTGTATGTGTTGGAATGACCCAGGGGCAATGCTTTTGATTTCATTCAACCCCAGGTTGATGATCATGATACTTTTCAGTCCAAAGAGCCATCCAGGGTCTACAACCTGCAACAGATTGTTATGTAGATCCAAGAGAAACAGACGGGTCAGGTTGGCGAAGCTCCCTGGCTCTATCTGCGTGATGTAGTTGTTGGACAAAGTCAGACTGAGGAGATTCTCCAAGCCAGTGAACCAGGTCTTCTTGACATTTGTCAACTTGTTAGAATCTAGGGACAGTGTTACGAGAGCGGAGAACCCAGCAAAGGTGTTGTTCTTCACACCAGTCATCTTTGCATCCACCAAGGCCAAAGTGAGGACCACAGAATGATCAAGCGGGGCCAGACTGTTTCCCGACAGGAGGTGGAATGGATGCCCCCTTATTGCAACATGTCGGGCCCCAGCAAGGAAAGAGAAAGGACTTACAGGAGCAACACCCTCTTTCAGGACCCCACACATGACACATGTGCCCGACACTTCCATCTGTCCCACCTTGCCATCGAGAGGCACACACACTCGCCATCCAGCTACCTTACACTGAGGAGTAGGAGGGGCAATTGAAGCTGCGCAGGGAGCTACGAACAGGAAGAAGCACAACATGGCTGCGTTCTCCCTCGCACCGCCCCCAACCCTTGCATGCATCCTGGTCATTCCTTTCAATATCTTTCATGCGAGAAGCTCAACATTCACCTCTGTACTTCACTCACCTGTGTACTTGGTCCGCAAATAAGTGTAGTCAATGGCGGACTCTCAGTCAGCTAAGCACGTTTCCGTAACAAGCTGCTTGCTCAAGCGGCGTCTGTACGTACTTATATATTTACCAGACTAATAGCGTCTTGATGTTATGTTTATGGATATAGCGATTGCCGTATTAGGGTTTGTTATTCTACAAGAGCTGCGCAGAATCATGGTTCCTGATATGCAGACTAATCTTATGAAGTAGCTAATGACTAGTAAGTAAGTAATATCACGCTTGCTGAACTGTATGTTTTCAAAACAAAACGATCGGGACAGTGCGTTTGTAATTGTTTTAGATTTGGGGGAAATTTCCGGAAGTGAAATGAATTTTTTTTGGGATTGCGTGGCAATATTCTACAAATGGAATTAATGACGCGGACGCACATAGCCGGATATTGCGTACCGAACTGCCCCCCTCCCCGACTATGGTAAGGATAATGTAGGGAGCAAAGTCGGCTGGTGTTCGACCAGGTCGGCTACTATGGCAGCGCCAGTCAAATGTTTAAAAAAAGATTTTTAAAAAATTGGGTGTAGACGGGAGGTTTGGGCAAGGTTGAGTGGTGTTTGGTGTGTGGGAGTTCGTCAGAAGTGCTCGGACTCAAAAATAACTCAAAATCGATTCGATGCATATAAAAAATTAGGTGTCTCCTAAATCAGACTGCTCATGAATTTCAGCCAACCTGCCGTGTGTGGGTTGGTAGTCAGGGGAAGTTTCTGTATTTAGAGGGCTTTGGGTTGTTTTCGATGTCTGATAATCTATTCGTTCATCGGTTTTCTGGCTTGAATTGTTCACGTTTATATCAGTTTTGGATACCAAGTGCACGCTGGAAAGGTATGTCTTTCAGATGGAAGCGTCATTTCATTTCATATCATTTATTTATACAGGTTAGCATGTCACCATTTTGGCACTTTTCAAATTAAAGCTCTCTGTACTGAAGTACAATCAAATAGTAGTTATGATAAAAGAAACGGAACAGACTAATAAAGTACAGAAAACAAACTAAATAAAGATGACAAATGATATAAATGATAATGGAGCTGAATTTGCATATCAATGTCTATAAACAAAAATTGAAAATTAAGAACAAAGAAATCATATTAACTGCTAAGTGAAGAAAAGGTGGTCTTAAAGACACTGAGCGTTTTTGCACTTCTGACATGAGGAGGAAGTGAGTTCCAGAGGACTGCACCGGAAAAAGAAAGCGATCTCTTTTTGTACTACAAGCGAGCTTTTGGTAGCTGAAGTCCCCCCCTGTGTGCTTAGTCGGGTGTTGTGTGTGTGCATTATCAAGTCTTGATAGTCTTCATCTCTGAAACGGCATATCAGAGGCCAACAATGGAGCACAAAATGGCCAATAGTGTAACGTGGTCGACCGTTCAGTTCTGAATGTACCCGCTAGAGGGCAGGCCACTACTGTCCATGTTCATTGATTGCTATATATAAACATAAAAAATACTGTGAAATAGCAAAAACAAAGTAAAGAAAACATGGAACCTGACTGTTTGGAAAGAGTAATTTAAAAAGGCATATACATCAGGGCATGCAAAACCACCTCTAAAAAGAGACGGGAGGCGCCACAAACTTACTGCAATTTATGATCCACCATCACCAAGCATATATTATGGCAGCTGCATTAGACAGTATTAAAAAGACAATATGAAAATCTCCACGCTGGCAAAAAAAATATAACAGAAAGGAAAGTCCGATAACTGAAATGCCAAAAAAGGCCAAAGTAAGGCGAAGCTAAAACCTCTTTTTGGAGAGTGACAGTTTACCGGTTAATAAAGATGTAACTTGGATTCTATGTTAATGATGTACGATAGTTGGTAATTATTAACTTGATCGAATTCCAGGCACCAAGTTTTTCTGATAATACAATGTAATGCTTTATTTATCCCTCCTTCATTAATACATCATTGCTCTAACTTTAAGATAGTCTTTTAGTACAGAATTTTCAATTGTTTTCCATCATTCATTTGGAGGAAACAAAATATGTTGAAGCAAAAGCAAACGTCTATTTTGTTTTGACCAAAGATGACACAAAACCAATGACAATGAAATAAAAATGTATAGCAGTTTCTAAAAATAGTCCAACGTGAGGTGTTATTCAATGAACATTGACGTTTGGACAAAAATATACTCGTCAGATGTAAGGGAAAATCGGTTTGCAAATCATTCAGTTCAATTATTATTAGTGACGCAATGGTAAGTATACATACAATTACCACTTATTAATGGTTTCTAATCTTCTGTACATTCAGGATTTGTTCGTTATTGACTTCATGTGATCATTCATTCAATATTGCTAAGTGTAAATAGGTACTTCATACTTCATTCTGATATTCATCAGTGATGTGCAAAAACAATCCTCTAGTCTTCCTGTAGTTCATAACGTCATAGATATACAAACATCCATAGGTACTACAGCACACACAGTATAGAATTAAATTATAGAACAATGTTGTTATACGAGGAAAAACATCACATACTTATGTCTCTGTAACTCGAGATCTTTTTATCTTTATGTCACAGCTGATTGTATCTGTATATCGCTAGTTAAAATTTAAATTGTCATTTCCTCCTTTTATGTTAGAACTTTTATGTTGATGTTTTTGAATGCCTTTAGTTTTGTCTAAGCTCTACCTGTATTTTGTGCAGTCATCAGATATGGTGACAGTCTGGTCTGAGTAGATACGCTCCTGTTTGTGTTAAACGGTTTTTTAGTACCCTATTTATATTTTTTTGCCCCTTTAAATGTTAATCTCTAAAGCATCTTTGGGCAATCCCACCATATTACTACATGAACTGCATGCTATGTTACTGATTTACCACTGTAATTATTTTCAGGAGTTCTACTGTCAGTGTTAAATTCACAAAATACGCAATTCTATTCACTAACAGTGTTTTAACAGTATATTTAAACAGTAGCCTAAGAGTAATTAGCAAGCCTGCCATATTTCACCTCTTGCACACTTCCAATAATCCTTTGCTGCCCTCCGACCTTCAATCCTAAAAATGCATCGTCACAATAGCGCCCGGCGGCCACATTGGATTTATCCTATCTCAAAATGACCCCGCAAAAGCGTGAAATAGACTTTACAACTGTTTTGCTAAAAAAATGCGCCAAAATAGCAACATTCAAGGTTTTAGCCGTTTTCATACAAAAAATGATAACTGTCGTAAAATGTTTTTGTTTGACTTTTTTATACAATGTTTAAGTGCATGAATTCTTTTTATGAAACAACGCAAGTATGTTTAAAACGGTAATTATGAGATTTCACTTTTCAAGGCAAAAGATGACTGCAGGATTTTCAAATAAAATCCATCCACAATCTAGTAAATTTCAATGCAAATACCATGACCATTCTTTGAAATGACCATTCAAGATTGGCCTTTCAAGTTTTTGGGTGTTACTAGTATATAGCCAGTATCATCAGTTGGTATAATTGTGGTATTTGTGGTGTCATGAGTATCTACTGGCTCCTTGCAATGACTATTTGCTGGCATCTCATACAGGACATCTTCTGCTGTCATATATAGCGCACCATCTGGCTCCACATATGTGGGCTCATCATCATCTTCAGGAAGTGTTTTCCTGGGTCGAGAAAAGGACGTCTCTTTATCAGGTTGCCCTGTATTTTTGTGTTGGTTATGAGACTGCAGGACAGCTGGTCCTCTAGCGTGTGACGGATGTTTGATATTCAAATGACTATTCAAATCAGCTTTTGTGGATTGAGTGGTTGCCAAAGACTGACCCTGCCCTATTTGATCATTGCCACTCGTCGTTACAGCAGCCGTCGTGTTAGTATTGGAAGATGGGTCTGAAGGAGAATTCTTTCTTTTCTTTTTCCACCAGATTGCAAAGATGGCCACAATGAATAATGCGCCAGCTACGGAACCACAGACAGAGCCAAATATTTTGCCAAATGCGTTGCCAACAGGCAGTGCAGGAAAGGTCGAAGCCGGGGAATGTTGTGTTGGGATAGATTTACTTTCAGTTTTGCCTAATAACGACGACAACACTGTGTTTGAGACAAATGAGTCTTGGTTATTAACAGGCATGATTGGGTCGATACAAATCAACTTTTGTGGATTGATATTTTTCAGTTTTTGCTTGAAGAGGTTAGGAGGTTTGGCACATTCCATTTGACTCTCAAATGAAGCAGACCCGTCCATTTTCAGCCTGAAGCGAGCCATCTTGCAGTCACACTGCCAGGGGTTCTTGCCAACATCTACTGTAGGAATAGACGCCAACAAGCTATATGCCGATAGGGGAAGGACAGATATTTTGTTGTGGTTCAAAATTAACGTCTGCAGCTGGGGTACATTAGGAAAAGCACCAGACTCGATTGTTGTTATCTGGTTGTATGACAAGTACAATACTTCAAGCCTGGATAGATTTGCAAAGATACCAGCCTGAACAATTGTTATTTTGTTGTTTATAAGGTACAATTTTTGTAGTCGGGGTAGACCTGAGAATGTTCCTGCATGAATATTTGTTATCTTGTTGAAGGACAGGTACAGCACTTTAAGCTGATATAGACCTGCAAATGTACCAGTCTGAATCGTTGTTATCTTGTTGTGTAACAGGTACAACTCTTTAAGCCGGGGTAGATTTTCAAATGTACCTGTCTGAATCTTTGTTATCTTGTTGTTGGGAAGAGACAATTGTTCAAGCCAGGCTAGATTTCTAAATATACCTGCCTGAATCATTGTTATCTGGTTAGGGGCCAACGTGAAATAGGCATACGTGGAAAGGAAAGATATCTGGTTGAAACCAAGAAACAACTTTTGGAGCGCGGGTAACGTTAAGTTGGAAAATGCACCATACTGAATGTAACTTATATTGTTTCTGCACAAGTTTAAACACTGGAGCAGGGTCATATTTGCAAATGTACCACTTTGAATGTTTGTTATTTGGTTGGAGGACAGGTCCAACAATTCAAGCTGCGATAGATTGACAAATGTACCAGGATTTAAAGTTTTGATAAGATTATGTGCCAAAGACAGCTCATAAATGGATGTTGAGAGGTTCTGAGGGATGCTGGTGAGGCCCTGGTTGCGGTATCTATGTGATTGTGGTGCACAGTTACGGACAGCTTTTGTCATGTTGGGTTCCTTCAGGATGACGAGAAGTAAAATCAGCACGTGTCTCAGTTTTTTCCACATGTTGTCCACCTGAGTGGAGAAAAAAAGTCTTTATTCTTACCATATCTAGAAAAGCAATTAATTTCTGCACTATGAGTTACCTTCACCAGGAAACGTTGTCGAGGTTATGGATGTGTGTGTATGATATGTTAAGATGATTTTTGTTTGTAGGAAGATGTTTGACTTACATAATCAAATGCAAATCAGGAACTAGCTTGTATAATTATTGAGGGAATTCTATAAATCTGCTACCTTTTATGAAAGGATTATTTAAAGGTGTGAAATATAAGCTTAGAACAGGAGAAAAATATATATATAAATAATGTAAATGAAGACCTAACTTGCATAATTCGTAAGACAATGCTAAAATCCCATGGTGATTAAAGTAAATTCAAGTGAAGTGAAGGTAAACTTCGTCACGTAGTTAAACGTAATAAGGACTGCATTTGCATAACTTATGATATAATGCTACCAAATAATATAATTAACAGAAGCAGTTATAATTTATCAGTCACAAACGTCAACGTCATTTGGCAAAAGCATGAGATCATGTAACTATAATTACTTTCGCCAAAAAGGTTATGTTATCATGTTCGTGTGTGTCACACCAAAAACCACATAACACATTGAAATACTACATCAAAATCAAGTCCATCGGCAATGCATTTGTCCAAATTTCAGGATATTTTCAGATACTTTATACTGTACAAAACTATCTCCGATGTGTCACCTGAAATCTGTCGTGCTCGCAGGATACGCGCTTCAGTGGTTGTTCCATAATGGAGCGCGAGAAACAGTCTTTTAAAAAGTGAATATAAGACTGACTTCACTATTGCGTTGCGCAAACTTAGTCCATTGCTAATATCTTTTTTTTTCTTCATTGAAATACTGTTAAGTGTGGATACTTTGGGGCTAGAAGTAATAGGTTAGGTCTAAACATGTCTACTTTGTTTAAGGTTGGTTCATCATTATTTCACCAATGTAGTGTTCGATCTGATCTGATGGATCTGAGAACTTGCCTGGCCAAATTGCAAAGCGGATGGATACATAAAAATTGAGGTCAAAGGTTGGGTTTGTTTACTATTGTCAGCTATTTGTCGGAGTTTGAGCAGTTCAACCCCTGTTTTTTTATATTTTTGGGCCCCCTTTTAAAATTCTGGTGCAGAATTTTTGAGATTGATATCTGAAAGATTACCTTTATCAGGCCTTTTTATCAGACTGTATTCAACAAAAGCCTTTAATGCCAAGATTTAAAGGTAATGTCTACCCATTGCTGATATGCTTAATTGCGTTGATTGTCTGGAGTTGGCTGTTTGAATATTAACATGGATTTTGTTTACACTCTTTTTTTAAGCCAACATAACCATGTCGCCTTTTGAACCTGTCAGGTAAGGAGCTGGAGATTTATCACCTTCTCAGTGATCATCCGATGGTGATGAGCGGGTGGGTGGGTAAAATAGAAATAAAAGAGAGACAGGCATTCTGCAATAGACCGGTACATTTTCACCACAGGAGCCAAAAAGTCTATCGTCCGGGCCAGAGTACAGCTCTCTCCAGCTACGCTAATACAACTCTTTCAAAAAACCAGCCTCCCCCCCTCCCCTGTCCAAAAAGAAACTGCCGCTCTAGCCGCTCGTAGTCGTAAAAAACAAACGGTGTCCCGGTAGATGATTTCAGAAAATGCTGTCTTTCTAAATTCACGGAGTGCAAAGGCCAGCTGACCCAATATATATGAGAAGCTGCTCGGTAACATCTTCCCCATTTTTTAAAGTGGGAAATTCGTGTAGTGCAACACATAGGCTTCATCGGTTTGGTAAGTCATTTCAACGTGAAAATCAACTACTAAACCATTATCTTTTCTTTAGTCGACTTTAAATTGCCTTTGCTATAGCCATAGCACTATCAATTCCTTTACACAATGTGAATTTGACTTAAAGAAGAAAGTTACCTTACCGTACCTCTCCTCTCCTCAGCTTGTCAAAAAATCTTCCGTTATCACTTTCTTCCTGGGATGGGTGGCGTGAAAGACTGTATTTTTGTTGGGGTGGTGCCTCTCAGAATCGAGCTCTGCGTGGTGGTTACACAACGGAGTGTAACAAACAATGATCGATTAGTCTTATATGAGTCTTACGGTTGATTGTCTGAATCTGACGTCAACAGTGGCATAAACGTGCTCAAACATTTCTAAGGCACCATCTGTCGACAAGTCAGATAACTGCAGCGCGTCTCTTTATGACGAATAGGACTAGTACTGTGACCCTTGTCAGTAGTGTGCATGTCAAGTGATTGAGAATAGCCAGGATTCGAACTCCCAACCTCTAGATCAAGAAGCAGGATCACCAACCGCTGGATAATACATGCCACTTGGCATTAGTTGTCAAGGACTGAATTTATCTGCCTATGTCTGTAGTTTTCACACTCTACTGCAAGAGTGCATCCCTGGCTATACGTTATGGGATTGGCTCCCTATATTTGAGTCTGCGCATATTTCAACTGCTTGATTACAAAGTACTGTTGTTAAATGGTATCTTTTCATTGGTGAACGGTACGTCACCTGTAACATTACCATATATAGTGGTCACTTTGATTTTGAAAGGCATCCATGGGGGTTACAGAAAACTCAGCTTTGACCCTTTGCTACACACTAAAGTAGCCCTTTAAGACCTTTAAGAGTACCAACTCTGAAATGAATGTGCCTTAAAGTTAAAAACATTGCACATGATACTTAAATATGGTTTTTACTTCCCAGTACATCATGTGCCTCAATATGCCTGCAAAGTGTGTGTTTTAATTACCCACTGCTTATGAGTCTGAATCTGCCAAGTTTTCATGTTGATAACTGACTCACTGGTCTGCAGCTGTTGCAAGGCTTTATATTGAACATTTCTACATGACAAGCCTGCTGCAACGTAAAACCTGACATTAACTTTTCCAGTTACGACAATCACATGTCCAAACACACAAGGCAAAATGTGATATCATTATTATAATATTTATTGTTAAAATGTTTAAACTTTAACCTTATAATGATATATGATAGTCTTACTTTAACAAGAGTTTAAGGCTCCAAGCTTAGAATGACTAATTAGGTGGGATTGTGACCATGTTCACATTCAAAAAATGGATCCAGATTAACAGTCGATTTGGATCAGAAATTCATCGATCTGGATCGACCAGTGCGTTCACACTGCTTTTCACCGATCCCGATTGCATCGTGCATTTCGCTCAGAAATGGATTGAGGTGTCACGTGATTAGAGGCCGCCATCCTGGACGCGCCTGAGCCGCTGCAACTCTGCCGTAAATTTTGGCATCATATCTCTATATTAGGCCAATTATAGCATCACACAAAGACCTTGTCTCATGATGGATTTTGCATATTGGATTCGATCGATTGTGGTATTTGTGGCACATCGCGTCACACCAGGCGAATCCAAGATGAAAGCCAATCCACTTTGCCTTCACATTCGCGTTTGCGTCCGAAGAACTACCTCCTCGAGGTGGATTACTTTTGGATCGGGATCGGGAAAAAATCAATCCCGATTGGAGCGTACCGCGTTTACGCTGCAAAAACCGATCCGGATTGACTGAATCTAACGTGTCTTTTTTCATACATAAAATTACATAATTTCGATAGGGATCGGTGGTGAATCTGGATCCATTTTTGAGTGTGAATGAGGTCTGAGTGACAATAGAAAAGTTGCTAAAGGTTACAGTTATATACATGTACATGTTATGATACACACTACTTACCGCACATTGATCAATATCACAATAAAAGTTAAAATCATCCCATCATAACTATATAAAGGCACACATGTATGCACTAAACACACTAAAGTCATTTCCGATAATTACTGTTGGGTCTTATATTTAGTCTAGGTTAAATCATAATCTGTGGGTCTTGACAAAAATTATCAGATCACAAACTTTACTGGAAGTTTACTAATGCTTGTCCCACATTTGTACCTTACTTTATAATACTGAGCTTGTGAGGTGCTCACAGTTCCTGTACCTGGAACATTCTGTACTGTTAGATGTATCTGTACTTCCTGATACAGTGGTCACCATAATCAGCTACAAACACATGCCCATCCTCTGTCACAGCCACCCCAAAGGGAACGTTTAATTTGTCTCCATCACTACTAATGGTGGACACCCAGGTGCCGTCTGGGCGAAACACCTGAAGCTTCTTGCCATGTTCTGCACCACCTAAATTCGTAAATAATTCCCCACTGTTTGCCAGAACTATGTTACCCATGCTGTCAGTTGACACCCCTGAAGGATCCCACATGTCCTGTGGCTGTCTACCCTTCTGACCAAACTTGTGTTTGAAGTTAAGATTCCTGTCAAACACCTGAACACGGTGGTTGAGAGAATCTGCCACAATGATGTTGTCTTCTTTATCCACGCAGACAAAACATGGCCAGTCAAACTGCCCATCCCCCTCCCCCTGCCCTCTCACCTGTTTCACCAGTGTCCCATCTGTCTCAAACAGGAAGATGCTGTGTTTGTCTCCATCAGCTACAACAACCCTCCCATCCCTCTGTACTGCCAGCCCATTGAGGCGTATGCAAAGGGGGTCACTCCAATAGTCACCCAGGGGAAATTTGTGCAGCAGTTCTCCTGATGGGGAAAATTTTTTCACTTCCTTCCCAGAGTTCACCACTATGGTGCCATCAGTCTGAACTGCAAGTCCTACAGGCAAGTCAGTAGGAAATGAGTGACAAAACTTCCCACTCAGATCAAACACCTGAACACGATTGTTGTAAGTATCAGCCACATACAGCCTGTCCCCTCTGACTGCTACACCTACTGGACTGTCAAACTGTCCCTGCTGGCTTCCCTTTTGCCCAAGGCTCATTATTGGGTTGTTACTTCCCACATCTACAGTCACTGTGAGAGAACAAAGATCCTTTCTACCGCCCATACAGGCCCCCAATGTGTGTTTGCCTGACTCCTGAGGTCTCCACTCTGCACCCCAGACCCTGCTAACTCTGCTGGTTTGTCCCTTCTTCGCTTCAAGTGGGGGACTAGTGTGTGCTGTTGTTTGTATGAGGGTGGTTTTACCCCGGGGCGAGGTCACTTCTATCTGTGGTGCAACTTTCCCACCTGTTAGATCTGCAGTGACTGTTGTGACTGTGACAAAGCAGGGCAGACTTTCTACTGAGTTCTCCAGGACCTCAATAGTGATCACAGTTGATGAAGCCTGAGGCTGCCTGGACCTTTCATTAGACACACGGACTGCTAAGATTAAAATGAAGAAAGAAATGCATATAATAAAAGCCCAGTCTCTTGTCTGCTGTATGAAGAGCTGGTGCTGCCTTTTCTTCATTTCTTTCTTTTTGAGAATCTCTTGTTGATCTCTTTCATTCGTCTGAACCTTATGCACCTCTGTGTCTGTGATCGTTGTCTGTTTTTCCTCTAGGGAGGAAATGAAAATTGGAAGATCTCAAAATGTGTCGTATCGGACTTTCTAATCAAGATTAGGTTAAAATGTCAGTTTATGTTATTTCATATTGATTTTAGGATAATAGGTATCATTAACTTAAATAATTTTCACTGCATGAAGTCAATGCTGATTATTGCTTGTCAGATCTGACAGGTCAGCGGTGACTAATAACTTTGCCCTTTTACCGGTGAATGTGTTTAACTAATGATATATTTAATGTAGCTACTTAAGAGATGTATTGGCTGAATATTACCGTCCATACAACAGTATCTATAACTAAGAATGTATGTTTTCTTCATGACAGAGTCTATTTTTGCTTGCACAAAATTCACAAACCAGACATACCTAGTTCATTCCTCTGGTCTTGTTCAAGTTGTTCAGCTTCCTCTGCTAATTTTGTTTTCCCCAGATCTCTTAAAACCTGCACGAAGAGCTGTAAGTCACCCTTGCCGATTTTATTATTATCCTCCAGCATGTTGAACACCTCAAGAGGTGTTGCTTGTTCCAGGTTTGCCAGTCCAATACCGTCCTGGACAAGAATGGCCCTCAGATTTCTGACATCGTCTTCTGACAAACAGTTAGAAATCTTGACAAACAGTTGAGTCAGGGGAGAAAGTTTGCTAACAGCCATGGTTGGTCGTACCGGTGTCTTCTTCGGGTTTTTCAGGTGTCTAGAGACAAAGAAGTAGAGTTGAGTTTAATGCTTAAAAAACTTAGATTTGATTTGATTTGTGATTGATTTGATTTATTGATTGAATTATGATTGAAGTATTTTTTTTTGTTATTTGCTTGGTTTGTACATATGATTTATTACTACTATGTTCAAGTACTTTATTATTTGTGATCTACTATTTCTAAGTTTGTATTATTTGGAGCTTGACCTCTGACATCTCAACTCTGACTGATCTTGTATTTTGATTTCTGATTTCTCTGTTACGTTTGATCATTATTATTTTATGTTATTTTCTTATGGGCTCCCTTGGAAATCAGCACCAACCTGCTGAAGGGACCACCCATGTGTCTTGAAGATCAATAAATAAATAAATAAATAAATTGGAATTGCAAACAATAAAATAATCGTGGGCCACAAGCAGCCGGGGGTGGTGTTGAAGCTGCAAGTACTAGGTAATATGGTAGTCCTACACCAAATATATATGTTGAGTCAAAGATTAGGTCAAACAAGGTACCGTATCTGACTTACTTTTTTTGCAGACAAGGGCGAGAAAAATGTGCTCACAGTCAGTCTTAAATACACGCAGTCGTCTATGCTCCACACAAGAGCCTCCCCGATCCAAGACAGTGAACTTTCGGCGTCCTATTCAGTCGTGTGTGTGCATCCCGCAGGTCGCATACACCCCTCCCTTTGTGCCACGTAAACCGGTTCCAGGTTGTCGGTCAAAGGTGACATTGTGTACGTAGAAGTAAAAGGGAAGAGCACTTATGGTACGACTGTGTGACCCCGACAGTATAGGTACTATTACAATTTTACGGGTATTTCAGTGGAGGGCGTGCCGCGACTTCAAGAGTCAGTGTTTACATGTTTTAAAGCACCTGTACAAACAGGCAAGAAAAGCCTTCAGGACTTGCCCACTAACCAACACATGATGCAATATCCTGTTTCACTTCCGAGTTCGAACTTCTTGAATGCCCCCAGGGCCTTGGTGATTCTATATATAACACCTAACTAGTTCAGGCGTTATTCCTGTGTTCGCACTGGGACACTCTACAAGCACCGTATAGCAAGTATGTGAAAGAATGTAACGCACGTATTTGGGCCTGGGAAAATAACAGTAGCACACAACAAGGCCTGGTGCAATCTCAGCAAGAGATGCACCTACACATACACCCCTCCCTTTGTGTCACAGAGAGATAACAGGAATGATATAGCACTTTGACATTTCGATAGTCATTATGTACTCGTTATTTTGCCCCATCAGTGATAAAGTAAAGCTATGTGTATAGAATGTAGTATTGCCTATAACTGACAATCTGGTCACGTCCATTACATGTACTTATCATTATGTTACATGTACACACACACACTTACGTACGCACGCACACACACACACATACACACACACACACACACACACACACACACACACACACACACACACACACACACACACACACACACGAACGCCCCCTGTATCATAACTTCCTGGGCGAAGGAAACAATCCAATTAAATATTTAACCCGAAAGATACCTGCTACACAGCGGTTGTGATAAAATAGCTAACTAAATAAAACACTTACCAGCGGACACACTATCGTCGGCCAACGGAGTCTACTGTCTTCTGCTGTGCCTTAAAATGAACAGAAATGAGCTGATGCGCCAACTGAAATTATGGTAGAAGTTATGAAATCTAATCAGGGTCGAACAATACTGACCAACACCATAACCACCTTTGTCGTCATGACATGTTTATGCTTTTCATTCATATCCGTGTGTAGTAGAACGCATGGTTTGTTGCCCTTTACACTATACCGTAGACATCTGTCATGATCGATATCTTACATTCAAGGGTCTAACACCAGAGCTGACATAACAAAGTGAGGGGTCGTGTGGCGTAATGACGGAGTGTTCGGCTTGGAACCGAATCCTGCCATGCCAATGATGAGTCCATACGACTGTCCTCACTTCATTTAGGTGAAAGTGAGTACGTCTATTGTCCGTATCATGCGTTTCCGTTTGTTATTTGGGTAAATAAAACCACGAAGCCCATTTTTGGCCTTGACAATGACCATCACTAAGACAACCTGCCTACCAAAAATCGTGAACCTCGGACCATGCCTTCAAAGTTTATCGTGCATAATCTGCCAAACAGTACCAAAATGATTTTATAGCCTTCCGTCGAAGGCAATAAGTCCAAAATATATATCGGTGCACAAATTGCCTTTTCTGCCCATGCCGATTAACTGGCCCCTCCCTCGATAATGTCTGCTTTCCTTTGGTGTGTGCGCTGGACTGAATAAGATCACACTCGCTCGCCAGCGCCAGATTGTGCTCTCGCGAGAGCAGATTCAAAATGACGACTATGACTGCGACTACATCATCAATACAGACGAAAAACAATCATTGGTAACTTTTTGTCCTCAGCTATCAATATTCAGTACAACGTCGCTTCTTCGTAAATAACAGCGAAAGCTCAAGACACCAACTTAACAGATCTTGATATTTTACAATCGTCTTTCCGCGAAAGATTTTATATCTCTCTTGGCTTCGTACTTTATATCTAGAAGGATAATAAATGCGCAGGTTAAAGACTTGAGAACGTTTGTAGAAAATGAAATAAACTTTCCTGAAAACCATTGACTATTTAAATGGCTCTTAATGTCTATCGATGACAGGCGCTCTCCCAATGGCACCAAGGACAGCCACCAGAAGTCCCGCCCACAATCAACCTTTACCTTATTTGCAAGATGATACCTCCATGACAAACATTTAAAAGAAAGTGCACTAAACATTATTCTTGCTGATTGTTTTTGTACAACAAAGGTATATGTTGAGAATTAATCTCAGCATTAAGTAGTAAACACATTCAGTCTGTAAAATTCAATCAACAGAGAAGACAATCAACTGTTTCATAACCATTGGTGTGCAAATAGACGTAAGACTTCAAGCTGTTTTCACATACGATACACTCGGGTCTTACTACCGAGAGCACATTTTTTCAAGACATCTTTTATTGACAAATAAAATATACAGTCAACATGCAATACATGCAATATACATATTTCCATGTGGTAAAAAACGTTTAAATTAAACCTCTCATGGAACATTAATTTTCATGGAACATTGATATCGTAATATTTCTCTTGTATTCACCATACTTGTACTTGCAAATAGTAAACTTTCCAAGCAGTATCAATACATTAATATAGTGAAATTTTATAATCTCTTGAAGTTTGTAACCGAGGATAACATCATGTACAAATAACGATAATGTGTTTCCATATTTGATACAATATTTTTTTTTACTTCTGACCAAATGTCACATTACATTTTACATTGTCACAATAATAAAAAAAGTGTTCAACATAGTCCACAGAATTACAAAACAGGCATTTGTCGTTCTCTGAGACAGCACATGAAAAGTAACTCTGTGATGTTAAGACTTCTGTATAACGTCCTTGGTTAAAATAATCCAGCAGACAATCAACGGCTAAGCAAACAATGGGATGCAAATAAGGGTGTGACTCCAAGCTGTTTCTTCTTGTAGCGTAGTGAGGTCTTACCACCGAGAGCTGCACACACAAAACAGCAGCTGTCCTCAACACTCCCTGGCAGTAGAAGATATTCTGTCTTTCTTCGCAGGAAAATCTGGATAAATTCAGAGGTAAATCTTCCTTATTGTGCCATGATAACTCTATTATGAGAATTTTACAAGTTATTCATGGCACTTTTGTGAAATAGTAGAAATATTAGAAGAGAAAAATACATTTATTACTAAAGACTGACTAATTTTGTTGATCTTTTGAAAAAAAAACTCTTCCTGTGAGTTTATCAAGAAAACTATATCAATACTAATTTTTGTTCAATATGTATACATAGTAAAGCTATAACAGAAATATGATCTTATACCAATCTAATGGGTGCAGTCCTTTTGGATTTCATGGCCGCAGTTAACGTTATAAATTACGGAATCCTATTGGCTAAACCAGTTTTCTCGAATCTAGATTTGCTACAGGTTGGGTCAGAAGCTTTTTGACGAATAGGCTGTTTATTGTAAACGGTAGTTTTTTCTTTGTCCAAAAAGTGCAAAAGTAGATTACAGCTGTTTGGGCCGTTTCTTTCTGTCTATACACCAACGACCTTGGAGCTGATAATTCCTTAATATATTATAAAAGTGATGTATAGCAATGGCACCACTCCATTAGATTCAGCCCAATGTCGTTTTTATATGATTGTGAAGTTTATGTTTTGTTTGTGTTATGTTTGGAATCCAGGACGATTAGTTGCAGAAAAATTGTGCAACTAATGGATATCCCAATGAAGTATCAAGTATCAACAGAACACAAACAGGCATCTTTACATGAGAAGTCAGAAAATGGAAGGATTAGAACAGGAAAAACTGCTCGGTATGTTGATGGACTAACAGTTGACCTTGGCTCAACTCCTAGGCAACGTTAAGTCGAAAATAGCCTCAGTATCTCTTGCAAAATCAGGAGATTTCCTCACAAGCACGACAGCAAACTGAAAGTTTCGTGATGTATGCAATCATACCTTAACAAAGTACCAGTACAGATTCTCCAAAAGAGGGCAGCCAATGTTTTGTGCTCACTACATGTATTGCGCACTCGCAGAAATAGATTTTTGGGCTGGGGGTTTGCGTAAAAGACTTCAGTTAATGGCCAATTTCGATTTATGTCACATCGGAGCAATGAATTATCATGAGAATGAGAAAATGAGATGCAGCATGGACTTCTCCAGAGTCGGCATTTGTAGCTTCAAAACCACCGCTATGCATAAACTGACCATCAGTGAAAGAAAGCCTGTGCAAAAGCACACTACCAGTGTTCAACCGAATTCTATCAGACAAAAAAACAGAAGCAATATACCAAGGATTATTAATAAGTAAATGATACACAGAAAACAAACCACTCGACTCGCGACTGGAGACAGGTTTGGATTGCCTATTACATAGTAAACAAAAACATGCCGCTATTACAGAACCTTCATGCAGAGATCCATTAAATCACACAACTCATTCCCACAACACATTAGATCAGCAATGCGAAAAAAATATATTGAGGATTGTATTAGATCTAAGATACATGTAGGTACAAACAACTCCTTACAGCACTGATGGTAGATACAGCAAGTAAAATGTTTTTATAAACAGTGATTTCTGACCGCTTACCTGCAAATAATAACTTGACTTGATATGTATACTTTCATGCAGAAAATGTTGTAATTAGCATGCTGCTCTGAAGTCGTTAGTCCTGCCATGTGTGTATTGTAACCATGTATGTTATACTATATTCCGTGTTCTAGATCTATTGAAGAAATATTGGCAGGTAATGATTATCATTGGAATCAAACATCATCAAATTCAGCCAGCAAACTTTGTGACATCTAGTCCGTGATATAAAAAGCCAATATATAGGCTGAAATATACATTGAAATATACTTAGAACAATGGCTTTGAAGAAGAACCAGTGCGAACCAGTTTGCTTTTTCTGGTGCTACATTTCTATCATAACCATATTTATGGGTTCACCACACCACGAAGTGGTGGTGAACCCATATTGCTTTTTTTCTGATGTTTCTTCTCCTCCTTCTCCTCCTTCTCCTGCCATATCTTTAAATGGATTCAGCTTCTTCATTTTAGGGCCTAAGGTCCTGAAATTTGGTATGGAGGTACAGTGGGCAAATACCCCTAGGCGTTTTTTTAAATTTTTGTGATACAGGCTTTTAGAATGGTTTTATTTGAGTTTTTTGGCTGTGTTATAGCAAATGTATTACTGTGTTAGTGTGCCGTGTTTACCACGTCTGGGCATGAGTCATCACAATGGAATGCAGGGCATCAACCAATAGGCATGCAGCTTTCCTCTATACTTCTTGCTGATTGGCTGTTGGGATTTAACTTGATTAACAGCCGCACAGAGCATTTCCACC